TGTGGAACCAACGTAAGTAACTAAGGAATTTCCCAGTTCAAATATTTATTGATTTATTACTATCAATTTCGAAACTCCACATATTTCTAAAGGGAGTTGTGATGAGACCATGGGGATGGGGCCAGGGGTCGAACTGTTGAGTTTAGACCATTACAACTTGCAAGAGGGGCCCAAGGGCCAAGGGCATGGGGCCTTGCGAAGGGTTAAGACTGCCGCACGGCGGTGGACCGATAAGTACTCACAATAATTCCCTGCCACCATGATCCAGGATACTTTACTGGTCTACATATAGGACTCAAAAATGAACTTGAGGGAGAGTCGAAAAAACTCTGCTTTGCCACTATGGACTAGATAAAGCTATGGAAAAATGTATGTTCAGATTTGAAATGCCTAGCTCCTTATCAAACCCGGTGGAAGTCTAGTAGCTAGTAGCTACTTCAAACTATCGCCAGTCATGAAAAGATCCGGTCAAATGACACGAGTTTAGATCTATGAACAAGGCACGAAAAGGGAAAAAATCGGCGACAGGCCACATCAGGCCTACATTTCAGCGCCGACATTATGTTATGTTATGTAGAGAGTCTACACTCTACCGTAGACATATTTTATTTACAAAAGTTTTTGCCCTCAAAAATTATTTTTCCATTAATTATAATGAAATTATTTCTGACTTTGTTCACTAACTATAGAACCCATAATAACTTAATCATTGTACAATTAGTAGGCCGTAGGGTAAACGCGGTATATTCCGACACATTAAGGACACATCGAGAAATGAAAAACTATAAAAAAATAACCATATGCGTTACAGCCGTTACTCAAGTTTTGTTTGCTTTAGGTGACTCTCAAAACACCGTAGTACGCGTCGGCAACAATGAAACATTACAAAATGTTGCCACATTTATGTAAAAGCCTTTAGAATGCAAACATACCAAATCCCTATATTCCGTCGCTGTGTGTGGCAATATTTGGCACGTGGTGAGGCGTATTCCGTCCGCGCTTCAAATTCTACTGATACGTAATGCCGTCATCCACCTTTTCGAATTCCGTTTGCTGTGTGAGCTGTATTGGAATACAACACGGCTTTGAATTAGAACACTAATGAATATTGAACACTACTTAATTACGCTTTTAATTAACAACTATTAAGCTTTTAATTAAGCAAATTTTAATTTTTGTACATAGCTTGGAACAATCTGTGTGTGTCCAATTCAAGTTGTGACGGAATTAGTTTTCATGTGTCTAAATCCATTTCTCAACTTAATCATCTATTAATTTATTTACCTACCACTTGAAATCAGCAAATACAAGTATACCTAAAGGATTCCTAATATATTCACAGACGTATTTAACAGTCTCAAACCATAATATTCTTCCTATACAAACTGTATAAAAATCTTCATCTTATTGGTAAGATAGCCGTCTTGGAAGACGGGTGGTGGTTATTTGGGGTTTGGAGGTGTTTCATTTAATTGGCCCGTTACAAGTTCCCAATATCTCTTGAGATTCCGTATGGGCAACCTTCCTCATTTCGTCTCTCTTGAATTCGAAGATTAAGTCCAACTTCAGCCTTTAGCACGACCCCAAGGACAGCAAACGAGGAGATTCAGCCCGACTATCAACCCAGCCACATCTTTGCTTTTACTTTGTCTCCGCTATGGAGTGAGACCTTTAGCATGCGACTCGCCTAGGTGGTGGCCTAGAGGCTCGAGGTGATCCGGGGCGACTGCAAGAGATGGTCTGCGTACGGCAGACTCATCTGGGCGAGAGCAAAGGAGAGGACCGGAGATTGCAGGTTGGTTGCACTTCTACTGAGGCTCAGAGTGTTGTGTGACTTGTAACTCCGGCCAGTTTCTCTAATGACAACTGTCTCCGATTCACTTCTCTCTCCCTAAATAATAAAACCCTCCTTGTCTTTCAACGGCGAACATATTTACTTTTATAAATTTATCTATGATTATAAACTAAGTTAATTTGACTATATATTCTTTGAGGTGGGCTGCACGAGACTTTGCGCGTCGGCTCCGCTGTGCTACCTGGCTGTCTCTCGCAGTCCAGGTGGAGCCCTTGTTCCCAATTCAAGAGAACTTCCATCAGGCAGCAGCTCAGACCGATCGAATTTCCTTCATAGATCGTTGTAAACTTCAATTCATCGACATTCTATTCTGCTTGAATAAAAATAAAAATATTTTTCGTTATTCTTCTACCGCCTAGGTGGACATTAACTGTTAATTCCTCTGAAAAGGGAAGTCGCGTAGTGAAGTTTTTGTACACAAACAGTTATTTACTATTTGGTAGAGCAAGGTCAACTGTCAAATTTGACACATTTTTCGATGATCTCACTGGGTAGCCAGACAGGAATATTGGGCAGATTTTTTAGAATACCACGGGTGAAAAGAGGCTCTTCAAGGGTGAAGTTGGAAAATTGCGGGTGAAATTTTCGTCCTCCTGTCTGCTTCTCGAAAATCGCGGGTGAGAATTTACTGTTGGGTGCGGGTGAGAATTTACTACTTGTGCAATTTTACGAAATCGCGTGTGAACAGCTGCTACCTACCGTCTCTCAACTTTTGAGCCGCCGAACAAGAGGTGCCGCGCCATAGACCAGCAAATTACCTCAAATCAGCCCTGGAGCCAACATCAACCTTCTAAATGCTATTGATATAGTCATCCTGGCAGTGGCACCTAAGCAGCTGTACTCAATTGACCCATCGTACCTCACGAACTTTAAACCAACAATGCTTCAGCTCACAAGCTGCTACTCCACATAGTTAACAGTTGAAACGTCGTTCTCCAATAACTTTCAACCGACACCATCACCTCAAAGGATTGGATCGTCGGCAAGCATATGTATATGATACTCGTATGTCAGATGGTTCTACAGGCAATTAAGTTGAGAACACTGGTTGTTGAGTCGTTACTATGGAGTTCTTAAGAAATTAATGCAGTAGTAAAATAGATAACAAATACAATACAAAAGTCACTTGTTTTAATCGTATAACATAAATAATCTTCAGAATACTTCAGGCCGGGTGGCCCTGCTGTTGTTAAAGCTCAAAGTACCAAAATTGGAGCAGACATGCGTGTGTTCGATACAGCTCTGCATGTGCGCCAGGGGAGCGCAGCCATGCACCACCAATTTTGTGCACCAATAAGCCCTGAATTGAACGCCTTGGATCTCTCCGGACATCCTCCAATCGGACGTGAACCACTCGGCTTTGTCTTCCTCCGTCCACGCATAGAACCTGCCGTGCACCACCAGGCCGCGGATCGAATCTGACTTCCGGGCATTGTTAAATTACGTAATTTTACGTTCACCTCATCTGAGGTTAGGTTTCAGATAGTATAGTTCTGTTCCAAAATTTATCGTCCTTCGACAAGTGGCCGTTTGACCGAAGGCTGGTTCGACCCACGGCCTAGATATGGATGGCTTGAAATGTTGAAGGCTACATTCCAGAAGGCAGGAATCATGATGGTCCATTGCATCCATGGCAGTGGTGGTCTTTGGCAGGCGACTCTGACATTCTATGCACAATTTTGTGATGACTGATGAAGTGATGATGCACTAATTTTTCGATAAGTGAAATTTTTTTTGCTGAGCAAGGTACATGTAATCAATATTCTTTGTTTTTAATAAATTTTTTTCCTAACTGGAGCCTTTGCTAACTGAGGTTCTACTGTAAATGCGTTTTTGGGGGTGTCCCAAGTAGCCCCTGGGTGGTGTCCCGAGTAGCCCTGCCGTGCGGAAATGGCCGCCATTTTTTTCTTGATTGAGGTATGCAAATTCCGCAAATAAAGTTTTCATGCTGACACTTGTCTGCCACTTTTTTCTAAGCAAAATTTTTTAATACAGCAAATATTTTTTCTACTACAGACCTTAGCAGAAGTAATTTTTCAAAATATAAATTTTCACCATTTTTTCAGGAATTTTCCAAAGCTAGTAAATGTAGTATTTTTGAACTTCCTTTATACTACATAGACAGGAAAAATGTTGATGTTTGTGCCACTATATTTAGTTTTGCAATATTCCAATTAGTTTTGCTACTAAAACAGTTTTACGCCATGTTGGAGGACTGTCCCAAGTTACCCCGCCCATCCCGAGTAGCCCTGGTCGATGGTATACAGTTGTACTGACCATTCTATTTCAGGTCTGCAGCAGCTAGAGTCTCAAAATGAGTCTGTGGATTGACAAATATAGACCTAAAGAACTGTCAAAACTAGATTACCACACAGAGCAAGCCCAGCACCTGAAGCAGTTGGTGAGTTATTGAAATGTTCTTCTAAATGATACCCAATATATAGTGTGTGTTTCTGCAGCTGATCATAAACTCTGCATAAACATTCAGAGAATAATTGGTTGATCTGTGAATAAATATGAATTGTGGACATTGAATTTACTAAAACTTACTATTAGACATGAATGAAGGTATTGAAAATTTGCTGGCTATTTAGATTTTTACAAAATTTTGTGTACAATAGAGCCTCAGTCCGAATCAAGAATAGGGCCTCAGTTTTGACTTTTGTTATATTTTAATATTAAACATAGCTTATGTAAAGATGTGAAGGGCCAAGCAATGTTAAGCAATTACTATAGGCAGGCTGTGACCTGGTTGCATAGGTGGGGTAGAAAACTGTTAGAGCAAGTTTGTTTTATAGTTTTGAATGGTCTTATGGATGACCCTCAATATCAATAGGCTTGATTGTGCGCAGCCTCTGGCTATATAAGGACCCTAAAATTTGCAACAAAAGATTGTTCTATTGTGGTTACCATCATGCCAGTACAGTCTGCAGCCATCTCTGCAAAGTTAGGTGACAACTCAGCCTTTAGGTGTCGGAAATAACGGTCGCGCAGAACTTCAAGATGTTCATACCAATACAACTCAGATACGTCAGAAATCTATGAGTAATGGCCATAGATTTGCTCATTTGTATGGTCAACATTTATCGCTACAGTTGTGACTTATTAGCCATAAGATAACACGAGAGAAAAAAACATTTTGGGCTGGCAATCAACACATTCATGATCAAGCACTGCACAAGAATTATATCATCTGTACTGTCATCAGCACTGCACGGTGACAGTCACTGGCAGTAGCTGTACAGTCATGATCATTAACAGCAGAAGCAATGAGCTTGGAGTAACATTGTTGATGAAAACTATGCCACTATTCAGAAATGCAGTCATTATAAAACAACCTATGATCAGACTGACCATGAGACATCTATATAAGCATGACAGGACAACTATGAAAAAAAAAAGACTGTTGGTATTGGGGATGCTCAGCTAGGGCTGCAGTACGGCCATAGTAAATAGTGCCTCAAACTTGTGCACATAGTATGGTTATTTGCAATTGTCGTGCCACTGAATGAAACTGCAATTTGTCAAAGTTTATGGTAAAATTAGGAGATTTTAGTGATGTAAACTTATAGATTCTCAACTTTGATTGTTTTTAGATTACCTCTTTTCCTTTACTAGAAATTTCTGTCAATGCATGATGTAAACTTGAATTTACTAGTTTATTATTAAACATACCAGTGTTTCATTGCAACCCTCTATGAGATTTTTGCCATAATCTATTTATTATGAAACCTTATAAATGCAAATAATCTGAGTAATGCCTAAGATGCCACAGTTCAAGTTGACTGACTAAATTTAAGCAATTGCCCATAAATAATAAAATTATAACAATGAAGAAGGAAACAGTCTTAAAATTTCACTCTAATAAAATTTTATCTTAATTGTCCCCAAAGGCCTAGTTGTGAATCAAAAGAATTTCTTCCATATGAGATGACGTTTATCATGTGTATGTATTCTGAACCATAAATGTTTAGATCTTTCTCAGCAATAAATACTTTCCTTATATATACAGTGGGGGGAAATAAATATTCGTACACTTGAAAAATCGTATTTTAATGTATGTAAGTACACAAACTTAACAGGTTAAAGTGATTTAAATTATGTATAGAGACACATGGTATTCAAAAATACTATCAAAAGAAATTAAATCTCAATGCAACAAAAAACAATGCAACATGTTCACTTTTCGGGGTGAAAAAAGTATTCGTACAAAACAATAAATCCGCATTATTTTAATTTAATACTTGGTTGAATACCCTTTATTCAGCTCAACAGACACCAGTCTATTTCTATACGTCTCGATCAATGATTTGCAGATGCTGACTGGTATTTTATACCATTCTTCTTGGCACACCACCTTAAGATTCTCAATGTTTGTTGGGGACCTTTTCTTTGATAGTATTTTTGAATACTATGCGTCTCTATACATAATTTAAATCACTTTTCCTGTTAAGTTTGTGTACTTACATACATTAAAATACAATTTTTCAAGTGTACGAATATTTATTTCCCCCCACTGTAAGTATACTTTTGCTTGTTAATTTTTTCATACTTAATTTGTAATAAGCAGCAATATATTTTATCTATTTTCTCTATAATGCAAGTCTGGCTTACATAATCATCACCATCACTTGTTTTGCATTATCTGTGGCCTTCATGACAGCTTTATTATTAATATAAATTTAGATTATTACATTCAGTTTGTTGTTATAGATAGCATCTATCTATAACGTAGATAGTTGCTATCTATAGATAGCAACTATCTTTGTTGAAGAATATTTCTTTCCTAGGTTATACATTACTTTTTTCCATCATATAAGAGAAGCTGAGGCTTTTTTGGTTTTTCTTCAGCTCATATTTGTCCTGTCCTCCCTTCATAAACTCTTAATGCTGACTTTTTTTCAGAGGTCTGACTTGCAAAATTCATGCTAGGCTATATCAACAGATTTAGAACTTTGTTACTATAAACATAGGGAGATTCACAGATTTTTGGTCTTAAAACCAAGTTCCTTGGTTTTTATGACTAATTTGGTTGACTTCTATAGCAATAAAAACCACCAAGTGTCAACTGTAATCATGACCAACTAATTTTTTTTGCATTTACTTGTTTATTTGTCATCACAACAAAATTAACTGTGCATAACTTGGACGATTGAAGCATCAATTTATCAAGATTGTATATATTGTTCATGTTACATTATTTCATTTAATACATGTAGCCTGCTTTTTTTGGCTGCACTCGATTATTAAATTTTGTTTATTTACAGGTTGATGGAGGTGACTTTCCACACCTGTTGGTGACAGGTCCTTCTGGTGCAGGCAAGAAGACTCGTGTTGTGGCACTGCTACGCCAGCTCTATGGGCCTGGCACTGAGAAGCTCAGGATTGAACACCAATCAGTTCTGGTGAGATTTTAGAGCTTCAAAATCCCTTTTTCAAAGACCAATTTTATAACATCCAAAATGTAGAGAAATTGACTTGCTGAATTTTCAGCCTAATTTACTGATGTGGTATCTGTATTATATCACCTGCATTGCTATGTTATTTTTTTTTTTTGAGGATGTATATATGTATGTATTACTTCAGTATTTTATACTTTACAGTATTTTCTCAAAGCCAAAATCTCAAAGTTTGTAGGAATTCCAGTCCACTTGGTTAATGGTTGAGTACATACACAAGTTTTTATTGCACTGTCCAGTTTTGATGTTTTCTTTTTTTTAGACAGCATCGAAGAAAAAATTGGAGATATCTACTGTTGCTAGCAACTACCACCTGGAAGTGAACCCAAGTGATGTTGGCATACATGACAGAGTTGTAGTGCAGGAGCTTATTAAAACACTTGCTTCTTCTCATCAGCTGGACACCGTTGGTCAAAGAGATTTTAAAGGTTAGCTTTGCAATTTATCTAAGGTTGACAACAAAAGCGATCATGAGCAATTTTGTAAATTCAATTCACAAACTTACCAAATTGAGCTGAAAAAAAACACCATAAGTCTGTTTTAAGTTGTTGCATTTCTTAATTTCTTCCTTAATCATATCTTATTAATTTTCATTGTTCAGAATATTTATTAGCACGTAATAATGAATCGATTTTGGAAAAATAATTTGATGATACCTCACTATTGCACATTCTAAATGCATTAATAGAGAAATTGTAAATCAGTGCCACTAAAATTTTTGAGTTTAAAATGTCGAGAAATTTTCAGGGATGCTAAATGGTAAGCTGTAATTGTTTATATCCTCTTTCAGTTGTTGTCATTGTCGAGGCGGATAAACTAACTAAGGATGCCCAGCACGGTCTTCGGCGCACAATGGAGAAGTACATGTCTACTTGCCGCATCATTTTGTGCGCTAACTCCACTTCTAAAGTTATTCCAGCTATTAGGAGTCGATGTCTTGTTGTTCGTGTCCCTGCTCCCACCAATGAACAGATAGTCTCAATTCTGCAGGTGTGTTTTCTGCTTCTCGGCTAATTTGAAATATACAATGCAGCAACTGCTTCGCTGAGTTTGCGTTCAAAAACCTGATTAGTTGTGGATCATTTCAGGAAAATTGTTAGCAGTTGTTTTTTGAAACGATTTTAAAGTTATTTTCTCCAATACTTCCAAAAAATATTAACAAACCTTTATGCATTGCAGATTAGTGAGAATATTCTCATTTTACGAGTTCCGCTACCCAATGGAAAGTACACTGCTATCATTATAAACGTATTTTTGAGCATTAACCAATCGCATTGTTGTTGCATTTATTTATCATCTTTTTTTTTTTACAGAATATCTGCAAAAAGGAGAGCTTGAATCTTCCAATTCAACTTGCTGAAAAAATTGCTGTGAAGTCTCGTCGGAACCTGAGACGAGCTATTCTTATGTGCGAAGCTTGTAAAGTGGAGAGGTAAGCAAGTGGCAAGACACGAATTTATCTTTGCACTTAATGCCTATCAGTGGATGAAGCTCTTGATCCAGGCTCATGAGGTCTGAAGTAAGACAACTTCTGGAATAGTACCAGTAATATATTTAATCCTTGCTCACGTGTCTGTCGATCGTTAACTGAAGATCATGGCAAGAGAAACAATTAATACTATAATTTAGTATAAAAGAAGAGATTTGTTTTGATTGCGTTTTCTATTATGTATGCCCCATGTTGGAATCTGCTAGTGCTCATTTTTTGTCACTATCTTTTCTATTGCGACTTGAAGTGCTGTTTCAGTTGCTCATCCTTGTAACTTAACAGGTGTCCAGCTTTAGTAACAAGTGCTTAGTATATCACTCAAGGATATAACTTATGTATATGGTTCTGATGATTTTATGATGGTATTGTAACTTGCAAGATGCATTATTGAATTGGCCACAATAACGGCAACCAATAAATCTTGCGTGGCTTCTGTATAAATATTAAATTTGCAGAATTGTGTTTTCAAAAATTTATGTATTTTGCGCTATTAACAATGAAAACATTGTGCAGTTATCCGTTTAGTAGCACGCAAGAAGTGTCTCTGCCAGACTGGGAGGTTTTTCTGCGCACCACCGCGAACATGATTGTCTCGGAGCAAAGTCCAAACAGACTTTTTGAAGTACGAGGGAGACTCTACGAACTGCTATCGCATTGTGTACCTACTAATGCTATCTTTCAGGTGAGTACCTTTAATCAGTACTTTCTCTTGCTACTGTAATCGAACTCGCTCTTGGAGGCATCAGTCCCTAGAGAACAAACGGTATTTGTGAATGTAAAATCGGTAAATAATGTAGAATTCATGTCAATACGAGTAGGTAGACTGAAGTTAATTCGCATGAAATCCATTAAAACATCAATCATCTTCAAAAAGTTGCACCATCAGTTGATTTCATTTGCTGTGCAAAAATTCAGGGTTTTGCTATTTTCCGAGATTCGATTAATTGAGAAAATGATTGCGGGTTTCTATGCATCCTGATGAGCTTCATCTCCTGGTAAATACCAGTTCTGCCTTTAATTATGGCTTGAATTTGGCTTGCATGATTAAATGAGTTAATAAATCCAATATCCTACAGGGATTGCTGAGAGAACTCATCCAGAATGTGGACGGAGAACTGAAAGCTGAAGTGACTCGTCTTGCGGCCTACCATGAGCATCGACTCAATCTTGGCTCCAAAGCCATATACCACCTGGAAGCTTTTGTCGCTTCCTTCATGGCTCTGTATAAGAAGTTTCTCGAGGAAAATATGGCTGATATGTTTTAATCCTTGCGTTTTATCTTGCTCTACAGTTATGTCGAATAAATTTGACAAAGTTTCCATTATCAACATTCATATGCATATACTAATGCATTAAGTTAGACCGTTTAAATATTTCACTAGGCAGTCAAATATATAATATTCTAAATGCGTTCATTTTAGGTGTATTACTGAATTAATGTGGTCATTTCACTCCTGTTATGTTAAATATTTTTTATCAAGGATTTTCAGACCAAATTTCTGTGGTATTTCAAAACCTACTTATTTTTATTCTCAATTGATTTACTATGTAGATCAATTAGACGCGTCAGCATTTCCTCCAGGTTTCAAAATCTTAAATAGTTAATAAGATGGAACTGTGAACGCTCGCTTTGGTAACAGAAAAAGAACGTTGGTTAGCGAGGGTCTTGTTTTTTGGAGGCGAAGGGCTAAAATGATGGCAAATATTTACTAGTTTCCGTTTTATGGTAAAATTACTTATAAGAAAAAAACTACAATGAAGTGAAGGACACCCTTACACAATGGATTTCATTCAATAATTAGTGGTCATAAGAAGCACCACTGCGAAAAGTCTTTGGTTCAATTATTCGCCGATAGCTACAATAAACCTGTGCATATAGCGAATAACATATTCTAACACAAAAAGCGACCAAAAAAGCACAGACGGTAACTTGGTGAGACAACATAAATATTTGTACTGTAAGAAAATTGGGACCCCATTCATCTCGATCGAACCATAATTGCACCCGATCATGCTCATATGACTCGTCCGATATTCGAAATTGATTGACACTAAAGTCTAACTGAAACCTAACAAAGAGGAATTCGTACGTTAACCTAAATCTAACTTTATGCACGTCCATAAAATGATACATCTGCATGTTTCGGGAAAAAACTTATAATGTGATAGAAACTTGAGTTACATCCCCGAGGATTCAGAAATAAAATGCAACTAAACCTTGATTTACAGTCCAATAACACGATCCTAAAATGAATGTAAACACATTTGTTTCAAGGGTAATATATTGGGATGCACCCCAATCGAGTGCCATGCCTCAAATTGGCACAGAGCAACCTTTGCAGCAGTTCACCTTACTTGATATACGTTTAAGCGTGTAATGGTTATCTTCTGTGAAAAATTTGAATCATAAGGCTATCATGAAGAAAGAAAGGGATTCCAAAATAGTGCAGAACATCACAATACTTACCAATTGACCAAAGCTTAATTTACAAGTAACTCCTTGAGCAAATAACATTTGTCCTTAAAATCACTTTGCTATGAACAGAATCTTCTTCATGCCACACTCCCGCCTCGTAATGTTTCTAAGATGGTTCACTTGCCTAGGTCAAGTCCCACGTTAACAAGGTCGGAGTTCTCAACTCATTGATATTGAATGAGTCAAAGCATTCTATCTCCCTACGCTACGTAATACTGCCGCGCTCTCTAAAAATTTAGCACTTTTTCAATAAGTACGTTGAAGTACTCATCGTAGAAGTCGGAACTTCACATATACTATTCCAGATTATTTTATTTACAACCCAAGAATCTGGATATACACTGTAACATAAGTCAGGTTTTGACAGGCAGAAACTTTTTTTTTTTTTTTGTTCGACGATCAGTGCTGAAAGAAAAAGATTCAACAAGTATCAGCTGTCTACCGCAGTGTAGAATCATCTGATTGGACGCAATTTTTGGCACTGAGCACAACTGAAAATACGGAAAGAATAGATCTGAATCCAGTTGAGAATATATATCTCCCAAAAAAATAATCAAAGCACTTGAAGTCATTGGAGACTGCATTGTAGTCATCGTAGCAGTGAGGTCATTGACAACAAATAATTCACGTGTAATTTTGGGACCGTGCAGTCGCCAAGCAGAAAAAAAAACTTAGTTATAGCAGGAACTTAATCCGATTTTAATTCAGCTTTGAATCAATAACCGATACTTCAACAACATAACAAACTTATTCTAAAGGAAAAATACATTCTAGAAGTACCTATTATACAAAACAGCCAAAAAATTAACGAGATTACTGATTCTAGACGAGTGACACGCTGTACAAACCAATAACCATGAGGCGGAACGAATTTAAGTTGCACTAATTTTTATGGTAGTATTGAAACGTCTCTGGCATGGAACTACTGTTATCTTTCCTAATCATTTTGTTTTACTTAATGACAAAAAAACTATGTACGCATTAGCCAAAAAATTAAGTTCAGTTTCATAGCACCTCGATTTAATCGGTTCGTCACAGATGAGTACGTTCAATAAAACGTATGTATGTACAGTTGACGCAACAAATGCATTTACACCTATTAACACGTAAAATTGAATTGAGAAACATCGCTGTTTATGCCTGTTTAACAACAATGACGCCAGGTCGAGATGCTTGAATCAAATTAGTTGATGAGAATGCGTTACCTTGGATAGATATTGAAGTGGGTGGAGGAGAATCAATTCGTTCAAAACGGTTATTTGTAGTGAGCTCCAATGGTACCTCTTGTGGCTCAGACGCCACGAGGTGTTCATCTAAGCCATACACCATAGTGGTGTTTGGGTGGAACTGAATTCGTTGCTGAAAAGTCGTCGTCTGTCCATTATTAGGAGATGGACATATTTCATAGATGGAATCTTTAACGTGACGCACAATGGTTCCAGTAATACCACCGTTACTGCTGTGGAAAGATGGCTCGTCGTGCAAAGATCCTGTTGTCGAGTCATGGATGGGGAACGTTTCTTCTGTGATGATTTCCTCCTCTATCCTGTTAAGCTGACAATGATCATCAGTGGCAGAAAACATGTGATCACCTTCCAGGTGCCTTATAGCTTCACAAATCGTATCCAAAGACTTCTGGCAAGACTGGTTGTTTCCGGAGTTAGCATTTGACGATCCGATGCCAGGTCCGATGCTCTCTCTGAAAAGACATGCTTGTTACAAAACACGATTGATTATACCTAAGTTCAAATTTCATCTATATCTAGATTACAAATAAATGATTATGATCTCAAATAGCTTAGGCTTGCTTCACAAGTCAATCTAGCCTGTCAAAGGCTGTCATTAATCGAAAAATTCAACCACTCGTATACACACCCTTCATGAATTTCTTGTTGAAGCTGGTGTTGGTGATGGGGCGGACTTTCTCCAGAACTATACTCGTCGGGGGTTGGAATACGAGATGCTGGCTCCACCTCTACTCGAGGGATGATTGTGCAACGTTCTTCGTCCACCATGCGTTGTTGAGTGATGCCTTTGCCTTGGTTAGAAACGACCTCCAGGACGGGTGTTCCAACTTTGCTCACCTGTGTTGGAAGAATATGGGCATTAAGGCTTTGAAATTTAAATCTGCAGGGATTTCACCTCATGAAATTAGCCGTGAGTCATTTCAACTAAACATGATTAGAAATTATTTTTTGAATAATGAGGAGATATGGGCATTAACAGGACAGCTAGACACTTACGGTTGTAAGGGAGATCGGCAATGAAGGCATCGATGTTGGATGAGGGGGAGTAGGTGGTAAAATGGTGACGATGGTTGTGCCTGTGTGTCCCGAATTCGGGTGATGGACACTTCCCGCATTGATGGTGAAACAGCGAGCAGTATTGGTGTTATGCAAAACTGTTCCATTGTTACCATTCGCCGAAACGGCAATACTTGCTGTTCGTGGTACTGCTTCGCAAGACTCGAAGCCGAGCGTTGATACTGGGCCGTATTCGCATGGCTCTGATTTAACTTCATCATCAGTTCCGTATCCCATTTTTATCTGCTGAAATGCATATAAATTAATAGGGTACATGTCTATCTAATAAAATATACAGTACTGGGAGAAAGTAAATATTCAACACGTATATACTTAAGACTGTTCCTGCTATCATTTATAACGTTTGCCGCTAACTACCTTATTTGCAGAGCAGTGGACGAGGGTCTTGACGGAATCGTCGACGTTGGATCGGCGACGTCGCTCCGTGTACTGTTCAGTTTTAACATCAACGTAATGAAGTGGAGCTTCCACAAAATATTGAGTTTCTTCTTTACCAACACAATTACGATCCTCGGAGTCTTGTTGTCGAGCGTTTTTGTGTAAACGAACCGTCTGTCGACTAACGAGCACATTCTTCCCGTCAATTTTAGTGCACACTGCTGCGCTGAGTCGGTTGTTTCTGTCCAGAGGAACCAAAGACTTTTCGATACTGTTGTTATTTTTACTCGAACTATTGTTGTTCAGCTTATGGAACTCAGTGTTAGGGAGCTTGCAGGCACTGGGATTGTTTTGAAGATCTTGTATCGTCGACAGAATTTCAGTCAAGACGGGGCTCTCGCCTTCAGATGAACTCCCTGTGCAAATAAAAATGATCATTGGTTATCCATATTTTTAAGGACGCTTTTCCGTACTGACGCATGACGTGCTTGAAATTAAAGTGCAATTACGCCTCCAACTGAACCACTCCAATGCCAAGACAGTGATTAAAAAATCGACAGTAAACTACAAGTAATCAGTAAATATTTCCACAATATTAGGAAAATGTGAAATCCAACAAGGATTTCAGTCAGAACAGTACATCGCTGGACAGAGCCAAACCGAGTTTGAACTCACCATCTAAACTTTCTTGTTGAAGTATTTTTTTGAGTTCGTTGTTTTGACTCATAAGTTCTTGTCTTTCTTTTTCCAACTTGTAGATGTAATCTGCTGTCTGCTGTAAGATCGCAGCCTGAAAGAAATAAAATAACAGATATTATTCCATTACGACGATTATAAAGGGAAAAATTACACAACTCTCGATTGCAATGACTTTTTCGACTTTTGTCTTACTTTCTATACTTTTTTTTTAATTTGAATCACGGTTTCATACATCTTGACCAGTAATCATAGCTGTTGTGTAATATTAATTATAAAATTCGGTGCAACTCCTGAGGTTGCTTCATTGGCGCTTTTAATAATTATATCTTAAACAAATAGAGAGATGATCCATTCTTGCCAAGTTCTGGATAAAGAATGTGCATTAATACACGGCTCAGTAGCCGCAGTGCATTGCAGTCGCCTAGCCCTGAGTGCAGATCATGAGCAGCAGCAGGCGCAGCTACAGTCACCGACTGCTGTGGAATGTTGACCAACAGGCCAACGCTCTGTGTCCTTACACGACCTTGCCATAAGCCAACATATGCTTGTGCTAATTACATTATCAAGGGGCACGTTCGTGCTGCAGCCAAAATTTTTCATTACAATGTGATAAGATTGAAATAATTTCAATTTAGTTTAATAAAGATGAAGACAACGGGTATGTTGCACTTGTTTGTAGGGGGTAATTTATATAGAGTGCAGAGTACCGGTTGAGCCCCAGACTCGCCACTACTCGCTCGGCGAGACATGAGGCCACATGAAAGTCTTCAATTTAGAAATCTATTGTGAGAGCACAACCACGAGCGGCTTGATATACTTTATTATCAGCTATCACGCTAATCTCGTTGAAAGATAAGTACCAAATGAGAAATACAACTTTAAGCTATGAGTTGTCATTATTCGTTCGTGAACCACGCATCGATTATTTGTTTCATACAAGTTCATCGATAAACCAAGGAAATGAACAAATAAATAAGGAAAACAAATTTCAGTATGTAATTCTGTATAGACCTAGTTTCAAATTTTCTACTCTTTGTTTGTCGGCAATGACTATACAATTACTAATAATATTCTTTGCATTGCCAATATTAAATGTTGCTCATGCGCTCCAACGTTTCGAAATGCCTCTCGCTGTAGGCTTTGGTGCATTCCAAAATTATTAAATATTAACTACATCATTATTAAAGCTCAATTAAATAGCACATGGTGAACCAAGCATGTCTTAGCACTTGTTATACAATATATCTAATTGATTTTAGTAACATTATACACAGTTAACAGATTTACTGTCTCCACGTGCGTTACGATAAACTGAGGTTTAAACGGACTTCGCGAGCATAATCCAACAGTGCATAATCCCTCAGTAAGTGTTGGAATTTGACCGGCAATATACTATGAAGCTGCGAAGAGCAAGAACATTGCTTACGGGCATGTTGACTGGCTGGGAGTTGTAACAACGGCCTTGGGAGTGGTAAAAATAGCATAACCGCCCGAACGTACACGCATCGTAACAACCGAGGCCGACAGTCAAGTCAATCGCCAAGTCCATCGACTCCAAGCGCCACGCACAGGACAATATTGACTCAAGAGTCTTTATGTTCATTACTATAGCGCACGTCAGTTCTTTCTTCGTGTAAAGTTTCATTAAATGGCTGAGAGATATTCGTGAATTTTCACTATCGATCTCCACAACAGGTGCACTGTAGAAATTTCATCGACATGAACTTATCACGCAGCATGCAGCTGAACGTTCACAGAGACGCTTCAAGTAAGTGCTGATAAGCTGTTATAGCGATATTAGTTGGCAGCAGCTCCACAAGCAGGTGCTATTGCGCACCAGTACGAGGCAGCGACGACACAAAGCCGGTGTGAGTACGGTGGGAGGAGCAGCACAACCCGACAAGGGGAGAGGGGATACAGCCACAAGGGGCTGAAGAGTGGCGGGTGAGCTAACCAAGAGTTGTACTTTTGACCTTGAGACACCAGATGCCGGAAAAGCGCTACACTGACTGGCTTTCTTGCACTCCCAGCACTCCAGCGACGCCAGGCCTTCGGCTACATTGCGATATCGACATTTCGAGAATTTCCAAGCAGCCTCGATAAGGATGTTGCTTTTACGCTTTGAAACTGCCGAAATGCTCAAATTAAGCTATTATTCTGCTGATGCTAAATTTGAGTACGTATTAAACTATTTTAACAACCGATAGCTTGAATCAATATTGATAGGTTTTGAAGACTGTAAAAGTTGAAAACTATGCCTGGTCATCAATGAACTGGACAAAACAATGTAGTGTTTTGCGTGCTTAAATTTTTTCAGAGAGTAATATGCAAAATATATTTCAAATATAAAACTCAAGACGATATAATTTCTCAGCATGACTCACTAATGTTGAAGGCCAATGGTATTCGAAGAATCAAATGAGCAACGCTCCATAATCCGCAACTATGCGATTAAACTAAAAGGTCAATAATATGGATGAATTATTGACGGAGTGATGACACAGAGATATCGTTTGACAAAGAACTGTTACTCCAGTGAGACAGCACCTTTACGTATCTTAAAAATAGTGGGTGCGATACTTAATTATTATCGGATGGAATTGACGAAAGCTGAGGTTGTGAAAGTTTCCAACTATTGCAGAAGAGATTAAAGGAAGAAAGCCGAAGTCCAACGAGCAAATAGCCTTCGGTACAAGAAAATAAGAAAACGACAGCCTGACACAAGCGCTTTAAATCCGAATACTCTTACGAAATGACGGCAATTCTTGTACGACTGGGAACACGTATTCGAGACTTCAGTATGAATTATGAGCACAAAGTAAGATTTATATTATAACTCTTGTGTATTCTATAACTCGTTCGATCGTAATTTATGCAAAAAGTTTGGTCGTCAATACATGAAAAATGTTTTTAAAATTCAATTTTAATGGAAAGTATTCAAATATTCATCGTAACGCCGTTGGTAAAGGAATAAATACGATAGTGTGCAACCTTATCCTCATTTATCAGCTTAAGAAAAACTAATACTGAGCACAAACGAGGAACTGCAGGCAGAAAATGCTGATGTGCAGCTAAGTACGGAGGCTGAGTGGGGGCTCGTGCGCCAGGTCAACATAGCTAAGGAGAAAGCGCCGTCGCGGCTCTGGAATGCGGTGGTGTTAGTGGCGGGCACGATGCCCTGCAGCCCAGCGGCTGCTATTGCAATTAAGTAAGTTACTTACTTCTCGTACTTCTGCGTGAAGTATCCTCAATGAACTTTGGCTATCCTAACAATGTTCTTATGTTGATTACAACGTGCACTGCAGAATAAGGTTGTTTGATATCAAGGTAGTCGATAAATTATGCTATAGAACAGGTTTTCTCAGCTGTCACAGATGCTGTTGCTGTCTTACAATTATATTCTCTAACAGAAATAAAATGAAAGAATTAAAGCAAGCACGGCAGCTGAAGGCGATAACCGCATATTGGAGCACCACGAAGTAGGGATCGTCATATGATTCAACACGCTAGACTTATAAGTGCTGGGCGTCTGAGGTCATCACTAGTTTAGAAGATTCTAAGAACGGATGCAAGGCCAAATAGGAGGATTTTCAGTCGAGTATCATCAGAAGAAGATATGTATGTATACATATTGGGGGACAAGCAACAAAATGAGGGATAAGCAACATCACTGAAATTATTCTTTTGGATGTCTTTAAGCGTAAACTTGGCCAGAGGTTTGCAATAAAGTAAACGATAATTCGTTAGAAAAAAAATCAAATTTTCCACCGCTCGAAAGACCAATTCTGGAGGTTTTAAAACTACTCTAAATGCTTTCAGGCATTTGTATTTGAAATCAGAGGTTTTCTAATTGCAACTCTTCCATAAATTCAGATCTGCGCAGCTCTCGGCGAACCGTCTTTATGGAAACTGGGTTCTGTACGTGTCCATTTAGGTTTGCAGTAATTTTAAAAGCCATGGTCTTTCGATTGTCCCTCACGATTCGATTTAAAAACCGACGGTCTCTCCAGGAACAACTTTGGCTTTCGCCCAGACCTGTGCTGTTCTGAGGACGTTTTTCCTCTTTCAAAAGTAGTCATTACTTTTGAGACAGTACGTCCAGAAACGTCAAGCATTTGGGAAGTTTCTGTCAAGCTAGCACCTGCCATACGGGCACCAACAATTTGGCCTCTTTGAAAGTCAGAGACGTTTGTCATTTATAGGCTAAGGTAGGTTGCTATTCATAGGTTAGGTCAAAAATTTACCGAAAATATTTGTGCAAGGATAAAATATCAATTAGCAGCAAAAATTAACAATAAAACATAAAAATATCACGTTTTCATTGTTTATAACGTATTCAAAAATTACGATATCAAAATGCCAGGCGTTTCCCTTATTTTGTCCAAACCCTGTAAGTAATCTAACTAAAATTATAACCAATTCGGAATTTACCGTTGGAATAACTGTTCAACGAGTGATAGCATTATTTGTAGTATAAACTTGAGGCAAATTTGTTGGATAATTCGGCGAAGACTGCATACCGTACAGGGCACATGGACGGTCGGTCATCTGTGAAGTGCTGGCAAAGCTCAAGACCAGCTGTTGGAGCTAGTCCAGCCAAAGCCATCTGGCACAGATGGTTAGTACTGAGGTCAATGAACCAGCAGTGCCAGCTGTTCGTATAAATGCTTGAGAGAATAAATTGAATACGATGCGGGGATAATTTTTAAGCTTTACAGCTACTTCCGTAGAAAAATATTAATTGCACGCCGGAAACATTTTGGCTGCCCATACTTGTTCATGAAGGGAATGGTTGATCACTCAGACCTTTGAGCTCTCTCCTTTGTTCTCTGCCATTTAACATCATATTCTCAGTCAGGAACCAAATAAAATTGATAAAATGAGTTTCAAGTGCTAAATAGAAGAGAAAATCTCGTAGTAATGACTTGTAAAGAGAATAATTCTTCTTCATTTTGATCTAGCATCACAGCTTGCAAGAATAGATGAGCGAATAAAATAAAATTCGCTCTTCTATGTACGCTAAAAAGTGACTTGCAACTTGAATACAGAAACAAGTGAGCTCAACATCATACAAACGAGGTAAGTAGAAGTTCAAAGCAACAATAGCTTTTTTTGCGATTCATATAGTAACAGTTACGAATCTGTAGGACTAACACGGACAGTCGAAAATAATGTCAAAAACTGACATACACGATAGTCGGTGCTGGAATAGTAGGAAGGAAATAAAAGCAAAAGGTTCAGATGGACAACGGTGTGCGACAAAGCCGAGAATTAGCGCCAGAATGAGATAATACCGAGCGTCGATAATTGGAGGCATACTGAGCCCACGACGCAGCGCTCACCGCCTCATCTCATGCCCAGCAATCCATCGTCTGAAACTTTCATGCCCATCGTTCGTACGACGACGATCGCAAATTCGAATTTCGCGGCTGCCATTTACTGGTTTTGTTTAACGTTCGAATCTTGAATTGAGATTTTTATTATGCTACAATTGAGAGCTCAACCGTTCACGGACCGGCAGCTGACAAGCCATGATCAAAAACTAACGGAATTAATTCCGTACAGCCAAAAGTATCCGAGATAATTCATTCTCGAGTACAGCACCAAAATAATAACGGTACATATACGGGATAAAACACCCAAACAACAAAAATTTGACAGGTTAAACGATTTTCTAACGATGATTTGATAATACTATGGTTGCAGTTACTCATCCTTCTCATCCACGATTCTCCCTGCTCCACACATTGCGAAAATCTGTGGTTAGTAGATATTCTTTCTGCTTGCTATGAGCTACGTATGAACTGCAGTGGGAGGAGACAAACATGTACACATCACGAGCACGTTGGCGAGCTGTGTCGCCAGTGGAGGTGGCGACGAGTGCGCTCGGAATGCAGTCAGCTGATAGGTAAGGTGCGTGTGGACCAGCAGCAGCTCCTGCATTCAGGCCGACTGCCAGCAATCGATTTCATCAAGTGTTATAGAACACTCCGCAATAGTAATAAGGGTCAATGCAGATTGATATTCTCAAATGGAAATTAGACTAATTAATACATAGAAAGCAGTTCTCATCGATATTTAATCATTAATTGGCGTTAGACTACGCGTTCGAGGATAAATTTTCTAAATAAAACCTATAAAAATCAAACCGACTGAGTAAAATTCATGGCAGCAACTTAGCCTGTTGACAAGTATGTTGCAGCGACTGATAACATGGCATTGCAACAGTAGTACGCGCCATACCAGAGATCGTTCAAGTTGAACTTGAATTATAGAAGCGTGAGGAGGTTTAATCGCTCAGTCAATAACCCAATGTTATAAACCCCAGTAGAATAATGATGTACCATATGTTTATAAGCGAAAAAAATTAAGTTGAGCTTAAACTAGAATGTAACATCGTATCTCGCTTTTCAGTAACATGTATTGTCAGTATTTCTGATACGTTGGTTACTTGATATTTTATATAACCTCAGAAAATTATAGTGAATAGAAAAAATATTATTTCGGCAAACTTATTAAAATCTAAACAATTGTTTAAGCAGAGCGCGCCAACATCACAGCTGTTTCCGTATTCTGACCGCCTGCTATACTCTTCCAGGAGAGGCAGCAGCTGAGCGAGACTATGAGTAGTGGAACGAGTGAGGCGGAGTGCTTTGTGGGCGCTGCGCGCGATGGTGATCGGTTGCTGCGCCAACCTGCCGCTCTTCTCTGCAGCTAGCCTCGCACGGGCGCACACAACCTCACGTGTCTACTACTTTTAACCGCACCAAAAAATCTCGATAATCAGGTTGAGGCTGGTAAAATAGTGTAATAAATTATGAATTTATGAAAATACATACTTAGGTTTCATGAAACTGGATTTGATTGGATAGAAATTCGAGATACCTAGATTAATACATCGTGAACGTTGCGAGGCTAAGTAGATCGATAGTTGTCATGGCGACGGCGGATCAGCTGGAGCAAAATAGACCCGTTTTGGTCAACCCTGACCTTTGCAGAATACCATACAAATATATTCTTGACATTTCGTTCAAGAATGATTACGAAAATTTAAAAAACTCTCGGTGTATGATAAGAAGGGATGGCGTAGTAATAGCTGGGAGAGCGAGGTGCACATGAAGCGGCTGAGTCAGCTGACGTCTGCCCGCCACTACTGGGCGCTTACTACGGATCAGTCTCATTCATGACTACTAACTCTAAAATAAAAGTCATCAGGGCACCTATTAATGCTTAATAAGCGCTAACAGTCGGTCCTGTGTTGAGTCAGTGGCGCAAGATTCTTACTTAGGTCTTCCGATCACTATCTACTTTATCGAGCCAATGCAATTGGAACGTATCATGATAACGCTCCATCCATTCATTTTGATGTGCTATTCATGAATGATAAGCGTAAACTCGTGCTTCGTAATAATTGATTTTAACAACATAATCCTGATCGAACTAATGAACAAAAAATTATTGGGCACGTCAGTATATTTGATGCACAAGCTATTTTTACTTAGAAAGAAAAGACTAAGCAAATATTCCTAATTTTAAATCTTCAATCAGCGACACAATTGCCTGGTAAATAGTGACATAATTGCCTAGTAAATAATACTACTTAGCAGTGTAATTAATTAGTTAATAGTTATCAGATTCATAAATGCAATTAGATGGGAATGTGATGAGAGACGACAAGCAACATCACTGAAGAATGCATGACTAGTGCCTAGAAGTGTTTCCGCAGAGCAACTTTCTAGCACGACTCCCACGGCTAGTGACATTCTAGCGAATTGGCAGAGCAGTGCAATACCCTGCCATGACCCCAACTGCTGCCTACGTGCTAATGCGTTAGAACACGGTAATGATGTCGAAACAAAATGTCCCATTTCACGAAAATAATTGCAACATTAACAGGAAAGCCAGTGTATCACACATGTATGAGCTATGATTGATAAGGAATACTAAACATTTCAGAATAAATTTCTGCAGGGGCAAACATGATCCAAGGACATATAAGACAACGTCTTTTGGACGGCATCATACCAGCAGATTACTCTTCGGAGTTGAATCGTGAAGCGATACCACTCGTTAGGTTATGAAATTTACGACCATAGCTAATGATACAATAGGAAAAAATAGCATCTGCGTACCTTGCTCAGTTTTTCTCCATCAGTGTTAGGTAGCAGCTCTTTAAGCGAAGCAAATCCAGCGTTGATGCTTTTCATCCTGCGTCGCTCGTTGCTGTTCGCGATCTCCCGACGAATGCGCTTCTCATTCTCCATGGCACACACAGGCGAAGTAGGATGACCTCCACTCAGCCTGAAAATGAAGTAAGAAAATACTGTTAATTTTGATGCAATCGGTACATTTCAGCTCTGACAAACCGGCGGTCGTTGACCCGAGAATCTTGGGTATAGTAGAGCATTGCTCTTTAAAACACAAATGTCCCAGAAATATATGGCAAAGGGTGTGAGAAGCTGGTAGCGAGGTAGAGGATGATTCATCGAAGAAGAGGGAGGTTAGTAGATAGAACTACAAGGAAGGTTGCTGCAGCACGGCAAGGTCGGCGGCATCCAAGAAGAGTCGGCCAGACGGCGGAATAATTCCGCTCTGTCTGGGATATTTTGGGAGCATGCGTACCACGGCGCTACTCCAACCCTTACTCTTACCCCAGCCTAGGGGAAGCAATAGCAGCTGGGCCAGCTTGTGCTAGCAAAAACATTGCTCTGCCCAATTTGAGGAAAAAGAACAGAAAGAAACGGTACAAAATAAAAAATTTCATTATAATAAACGCAGTTAATCGACACTTTGAGCAAACCAACCATTCTATGCAAACCAATGCAAAATATTTCTGGTACAAGATGCATTGCTCAAGCAGAACCAACGATGTGAGCACGCATAATTAAGTAGCGCATTTTCAGAATTTCTAGCGAATCGTCAGAGCATATAGCAGTGGTAAGAAGAGTAAGGACTCGAGGCAAGCGACCTGGGAATGAGAGAGGAAGAGAGTAGGCTGTGTGCCGGCACTGCCGAGTGAGGCGAATCAATAAATGTGGCGGTGCTGGTGCAGGACTGCTAGCAGCTGACAGGAGTACGGCGGCAAAAGCGCGGTCACTCGTCGGATGCTAACGCCGGCAAATTCCGGCACTCCCTTCTCATCGACGAACGTTATTGTCCTCCTTGAATTATCTAATTGTTTGTTAGGTTCAGGAATTTGACAGGATTCGTTTTATGCAATAAGGAACCTTGACAGCTTTCGCGAATGCGTAAATCAGAGGAAAGTCGAGATGAACTTGAAATGCAGTTAAAAATGAGAATTTCCAACTTCATTTTATTTTATCAAAAAGGCACTTGCAACTTCATCATTACAATGTCGATTTATAGATTATTTGAAATTTATTTGTTTCACATCATTTGTAGTAACTCTAGGATCAAAGTCATAGGAATGAACAAAATTACGAAATTATGATGGATAATAATTTGGTTACGTAGAACTGATCTGAATTCTCTTACAGATCATACGAACAGATGAAATTATAACATAGGTGAACAACATGGAAATTGTTCAAGATGCGTCATCGATCACAAAGTGCACGGCTGCAGCACTAAGCTTGAGTTGGTCAGTTCTCTCGCAAACGGGGAAAAGGGAAGCAACATGAAGCAAGAGAACAAGTAGAGCATGCTAGAGAAATCGATACGAGTTTGCCGTTGCTGCTGCCATGCCACACCCGCCTTTGGGAGCGCCCTCCCATCAGCTTCACTCACCTTCCTAGCCTTCTTCCATTGCGAGTCAGTGTCACGCACTATCTCAGCGATCGCGTTCATTGCATGTCTGTCAATTATTCCACTACCATAACATTGCACCTGAGTTCACAGGAACGAATGGCATTTGGTATTAACGATTGGAATATATAGTACGTAGTACATTATTTTTACTCAAATATATTGGCAGACGGCTGTGTTACAATACTCGTAAACATGGAAATGAGTCAGACAATATATAAGCTGGGAACATCTTAAAATTAATGTGAGCCAGTAAAATCAAAATCCACTTATGATTAGAACATTTAAAAAAACAAATAACTAAAGCATTACAGCTAGCGGCACAAAAGATTAGCATTAGTAAAGAAAAGGTACTACACTTCAACTGGGACGCATTTTCCGAAACCTCCGCAAAAATATTGAACAATTAAGATTGAGAAGAGTGTTTCCGCAGACATTTGCTACGTGATATTCGTCATTATAAATTCAAGCGGTAGTAACGAGAAAACATCTATTTATCGTACGATATTTAGCTCCCACATAATCGTTAATTATAATTATAAAACCTTATTAATAGTAGACAGTAAAAGCATTACTTCTAGTGGCGAGGCTGGTTAGTTATGACAGCATCGCCTCAATTTATGGCAACAGTATGGTTCAGTATAATAAATGCATTTGGATTGCGTCGTAGCTTATCGCAGGAAAACGTAGGAAAAAAGCTGCAGGAAATGGGGAACCAAGACTCAGTTCAGAAGATCAGCGAGACTAGCTAGCATTCTGTCAGGTAAGAGCTAAACGTTTGAAAGCAGCTCGCAAGCCTGTAATCTGAGGCAATTGCGGCGTCAGCAACAACTCGGCGACTACGCAGCGAAACAAACCGCAACAGCTGAATGCTTCGCCGGTCGGACTAAGCTTGAAAAAGTTTCATACAGTAATCTTACCTAAACATATAATTCATCTTTAAGTAGTTTATACGTCGCTCATAACAATTAGCGAAGACGTGCAATAACTGAGAGGAAGAAACTTAGAAAGTTAGAGGTCATCTTTCAAGGACACTGACGGTGTCAATGAGTACACGCGATACTACTGCAATGGCTCCGTACAACCAGCGTGTCAGCTCAATACATTAGCTCAGTGGTGTGCGTGAACAAACTTCACGATTTCAACAATATCTGCTCAACAGTTGCAGTAATATTGCGGTAATTATAAATAATTGTGTGATAACAATTGATGGGCACATAAATACTATTAAGAAGATACAATAAATACAGATTGGTTGAAAATCTATCTTTTCATTACAAAAGAGGTAAAGCTTACGTCAACCCCCATTCGAATAGGGTTGCATTATTTACTTGATGTGCGGGTTGTCCAACTAACTCCAACGAACCCAATCACCTCGCCATCCTACGGCAGCCAGCTAGCTAGCTCAGCTGACTCCGTCAGTATGTTGAGGGTGGCCGTGAAGCACTTCGTTCATAAACAATAATACCCTGCTGCACTTCTTGCGTGAGCTCCCACAATTCTAACACATTCCACTCTTGAGAGTTAAAATGGCATCCGCGTCAAATGCGCATTGTGAGAATAAAAATATCATCGGCGTAGTGTGCCTGACATCGCATAACATTAAGAGATCCAAAATTGCTCTTTTCCAATAAAGTTGGGCGTCGGTCACCCAAGTTAAAACTCAGCAATTTGGAATCTTTGTGAAGTGTAGGAATGATTTCATTAAAGTTTCATAATTACATCACATATTTCAGTGAAGAATTTTAAGAGGGTGCGAACAAAAATGCATACGTGCAGTTTTGCCACACTAACACTCAACTACAATGACATTCCAAGGCAGCAGAATACAACATCGTTGAAGGTATGTCGACGAACATAAGCAGAGGAGTAGCACCAGGAGAACTTGCCGAACAGGTTACTCAGCGCATTCCGAGCGTTCCGAGACTTCATACAGCGAACGGCAGCTCAAGAAGCAATGTCCAGTCAGACATTCCTCCCGTGAAGACAACAGCGGAAATGCAACTATAAGTTCAGTGCATTAATCCGACGAGAAATTAAATCTATTAACTTAATTCTTCACAACTGTTTTAATCGTAAGCAGAATGCACCAATAAAATTCAGAATATGACTATTAGCGACTGTGAAGGTGAAGTAATGTCAGCATGCTATGCGATGACAACTAGTTATATATACGAATAGTAAGTACAACTGGTTAAAACTTCATAATTTATTATATTCAAAACTTTATTTTAAAGAGATGAGAAGAGGTAAGGAAACAGATTTATTTGTTAGAAGGCATTACGTCAGCTGTGCATCATCCATAAAATGAAGTACAATCATTCTATTCTAACACGCGTAAGAAGCGCATTGTGCAGTTACATATATAAAAAAAATCTCAACATTTTCCATCCTGGATCACGTATAACGCATTTAAAAAGCGGTAAATAAGCAAGCGAAAAAACCTCAACCAATGATTTTAACTTTCGAATTAAACTTTTTTCTGAATTGAAACAAAATTTAAACAAAATATTTGCCAAGTTATGACTTTTAGTAAACTTAGATGTTTTAGTAAACTTAGTCCAACTAGAAGATGAGTTCACTTCCAGAGTACAACTCATTACATATTTTTTATGGTATTGGCTTATAAGGTATCAGGTACTACATATATAATTTCAAAGTTGAACTCAAAATAACTCGCTGTCAAGGTATCAGTTGCTAAGGATAACTAGCCGACGGCAGTGTGGGTGCCGGCGATGGCAGCAGGCATTCGAGTAGGGAGAAGCAGCAGCGGCGGTTGAAGTGGCGACGGCAGCATCAAGACCCAGACAGTCAAGCAAAATTGGAGACATTTGGCAACCATGTCTGCGCCGCACACTGCCCCTCTCCCTGCGCTTCCCGAAGCTAGGCTATACCCTCAATTGCCCCCCAATACTCGCCTCCCAAACCGTCTCGAATGCTCTCCGGCGGTACGGAGACCCTCATTTCACCCCCACCCCAACAACAGCTGCCATCTTTGCTACGGGGGTTGCTCAGAGCCTTGCTCGTCCACAAGCAACCTCAGCCAAGATGATCGCATCGTCCGACACAGTCGCGCACATGAACAACCCAAGCAAAACGCACCTTTGAAGGCGCCATCATGACTCAGCACTACATGCTAGAAGGGGTCTGTAAATTCACGATGGAACAGTTGGAATGTGGCAGGAAATAGATGAACAATGTACAAAATTATATCCACTGAAATCTGTAGGTGAAACAATCTACAATTCGGAAAGATTTAGTAATGGCAAAAAGAGTATGAAATCGTCATCGTATCCATTCCTTTCAGCTGATTAGTATGGCGCCACACTGAAGACACTCGCCATTGACTCAATTTCTTAGCTTGTCCAATGGAATTTTAATTGTTCATTTCAATTTGCGATCGAAATTTGTTTGGACGAAGAATGCGGCCACAACTGGTAAAAAGGCGTGAACACTTGAAGAAACATACGCAGTCAGCAGCACATGTTCTCAAGGCCCAAATGGAAAGCTATGAGTAGCAACACGTGCACCGTCAACTCAGTTGGGCAAGATCAGACAGCAACACGAAACTCGAACAGTGAAATATTGAATATGATTATATCGCCATTAAAAAGTGGACTGAAACTTATGATGCGCACTTTACACAACCTAGGTAAGTCGAATTATAAGCAAATTAAATTTTTGAAGTCAAATGTATCAATTCTGAAAAAATTATCTATAGGTACTAATTATAATATATACTAATTAATCTATACTAATTATAACTTATATACTAATTTTCATTTTTTCAGGCGTGAATATTCTTTTGTTACTAAAATAACTTTTACTAGGGTTTGAATTATATTAAAATACAGTCTACATTTATAATGAAAAGAGTGAGCAGATAAAATCGTAACGAAATTGCCGATGAACCACAAAAACGATAGCGTGGTCAAAATTTTAAGCGCAACAACTCGTACAGCAAGTATGCTCTAGAAGTGGTTCTTCTCAGGATGAAGGCATTTCCAGATAATCTGGTAAACATGTATTATTAGTACTGATGTTGAGACATTAATCAGCTGATCGATAAGTTATCTAATACAAGACTTCGCAGCTTGGCGAGGTTATTGGGACCAAATGAAGAGAAACTTGAAAATTAGGTCGATTTTTCGTTATTATCAATAATGTAATGTATGTAATAAATATGTTTTGGCGAGATCCCTGCCGCACGCGACCAATAGATTTTTTTTTTTAAATTGTGACTTCAAAGTATGGCGCCACATGAAAAAAGTGTGGTAAATATAACATAGAATGTCTTCATTGAAGATAATATTCACTATAATAAAAGAACAGGGGATAACACATTGGTTGCAGTGGGCTCGGCTGTAGCGCTATCCCAAAACCACGTGGTGCAGTGAACCGCCCGCCATTACGTACGTAGTGGCAAGGGAAATTCTGGCGCGAAGGCTGAGCAGGTAGCTGAAGGATCTAGCGTAGGGCATCCGTTCTGGCCGCAAGCAAGGCAAAGCGAACGACCAATGAGCAACCTGCAGCTGCAGCCTACGTTACGCTCGCTCGTCAACAGGAAATGTTCGAGCGACGTAGTAATACTAGGCGTCTGTCCCTTCATGCCACGACCATGAGACGCCCAAGTTCGCTTCGACTGGCAAACCTAATCCTGCATGCCCATTCTTTCCTGGTTACGTTTATTTAGTCATATCAATATCGTTCCCGTTCAAAGTGATACTAGAAATAATAAAACTTGTAATTTGATGCATTTCAAAAACAATCCATGGACTGACGAAGGATAATTTTTTTCGGCGTCAATGAGGTAAAATGAGAAGGCAGTCATTAATTTGTATTTTTCATTTATTCATCATGACGTCAGCGATTCCATAACAGAGTATAATTTCGATACCCCAAAAGTTGCCCGATCGTTTCAATAAGTCGCGCGATGGAGAAATCGTTCGTTGGTGAACCATAGAATAAAGAATAAATTGTGAGCCTGTGCCAAATCGTGGGTAGCAGTCACGAGGAGCGTTAGCAACAGCTTGAAAGAGTTGTCCCTGATGAGCAAGAGTTAAGTGTTGTTGCACAGGTGCCAGCAGCCTTGTGAACACAGCTGACCCAAATCTTGCAGCCGCCGGCAACAGACAACACATTTATTCTCAGAACTCCCAATGGCATACTGACATCATCGCAAATCCTAACATGCTTGTCCATCTAACTCCCGTGCAACAGAGATAATTTTGCAAGGGTTACAAATTGCAGTTTAATGATAATCGGTATTTCGTGCGTTATTGAAATCAACTTTTCAATCAGAATCAGAGAATATAAAAGGAACATTTGAAATCATACCAACTTGATTTGTAACGAACCTAATTAGTGAACTTCGAATACGAAGTAAGCGACGAAATCTTCGAATAAACAAAGAATGATTCATACAAATTAACATGATGCCTGCCTCTGCACCAACATGTACAACAGTCCAAATATCATTCACGTCATTGCAAGATGTAAAATAGATTTTTTGAGAGCAGCTAGACGACCACGGCGCGGAAGGTAGCGAGCTTGCGCAAGCGTTGCCTGTATAACGCCTTCTACGGTTAGGCAAAGGGGCGAGCGAGTCTGCCTGGTCTGGAGTCCCGTATAAGGGCAGTTAGACAACCCACAACTTGAGTATTGCTACACCTCCGCCCACTCCCAATAATGGGTTCTTCTGAACATCATTTAAAAACTAGGATATTGCCCGAAATCGTTTCATTTCTCGTACGCGTGAATGTGACCTATGAAAGATGTCTAAGCAAAAACAATTGTTCGACGTCAATTTTATAATAGATTTAAACTTCATTAATTTGTGGAGAATATAATTTATATACAATTTGAAGAAATTTCAGGAAAAAATGTCATTACTTAACGAAAGAACAAAAATCAACGTTCGGAACTTTTACTAGCACATTGATTGTGAGGATCACCATTCACCGGATCGGCAATCAGCTGTTCAGCAAATCGTAAGTAACTAATAATCAGCGAAACAAATTATAAAAGATGACTTTCATACAATAATTACTTTTTGCATATCAATGCACACAATCTTAAACAACGGAGTTGCACATTCAAAATAACAAAGTCAAACAACAGAGAGGCATGAGAGCAACTAGAAAGTGTCGCGCCGTCAAACAGCTGCGAAGGGCGTGTCGACACAGACGCAGCCCAGCCGGCCGGCGAACCTCAGTTGACTTCCACAAAATCAAAAAGTAAACACACTACGTCGAAAGAATGCAGTTGCCCACATGTGCACCTCAACAACAAACCCTCCACAAAGCTAAAGATGAATCTGAAGGGCAACAGAGGGCAAACGGGAGGACCCGAAGGGAAAGCTATGGAGAGGCCCGCGCCAGGTGTCAGCTGATCCACCAGCATGGCGCCGATCAGCTGGCACCAATAACATTCCAACAAATTTATCATTAGTACTCATAAAATTTTAAGCGCTTCCGCATTCGAAAATAAAGACAGAAGAAACAATTAGGCATGAGGATTTAACATCTCATAAACGAACAAGTGAAGTGCTACGAGGCAGAGACTCGTAGTCCAGCTGTCAGTTCTCTCCATACCTGCACAATGTCCCAATAGCTTCTTCGTCATCGCCGTCCATTTCGTCGAAACGACGCTTTTCACCAGATTTATTATACATCCTCATCCGTAACAGCTTTTTTAAACAAGTTTGCGAAAAGTTGTTCACAATTCACTTCAAAAATCTAACGTAAACACACGAATTTGCGGCGTAAAACAGCGTAGTCCTCCACCGAACGCGATTCACTCCCGTTTGGCGGGAAATTCCTCGTGCAGCCTGTGTGGCTGCGCCCTGCCCACCCTACGCGCCACGATTTAAACGCGATTTATTTAATTTTGGAAAAGTATTGTTCTAAGATCGGAATGTAGCTCCAAAATAAAATTTGAAGTAAAATCTCTTTTATTTTCTCCATTCATTTCATACATTACGAGTATTTTCTGAAAACATGAGTTACTAGTTTTTTTGGCGTAATACACAAGGTGGGGGGATTTTGCGGCTTATGTCATTAAAATCTCAAGGAACATTGCAAAGCTTATACCCATTTTATCAAAAAATATTATAGTTATTTGAAATTTTGAATGCTTTGAATCGAAAGATATGATGAAGCATGCATGTAATCCTACAACTTTATTTACAGTCTGGTGACATCTTGCAACAATTGTTCAACGTAACGTATGAAACAGGGTCGTACGAACAAACAGACACACCCCAATGTCGTTCACATAAATCAATTGAAAAATATTTGATATATACGATCATTTTTCACTGAGTAATAGTAATATTCATAAAATAATATAATTTATCCCTTGAACATTCTTTGGAGTTAGAATGAAAATTTTTGCCTCCTGTTGTAGGCAAGAAGTTATCCGTTTATATCAAAATAAATTGTAATTAATACACGTTATGTTATGTATGCTGTTTGACTTACAATTTTAATCACTCATAAATGATCGAACAAGTATCAATAATAATCCCCTTGTTTTTTCTTGTCCAAAGATCCTGGGTTCATAGTACGACTGACGCTCCCACGCCTGAACAACCCGAATGAATGCCACACGTTGCTATACTAAAATTTCTGATGCCAGAGGTACGATTTCATTCGTCACGTTCCGCCGCAAAATTAAAGCAATAATTAATCATCAGAATGGTAAAAAAACAATTATCATTTATATAAACTGTAACTTGTAGATCAAATCTACCATTCATTAGGATTTTTTTGCTAAAGATGACAAATAGAAACGAACATCACTAAAGCACGACAGTTTTTGTATAAAATTATGTTATCTGACTTTGTTTAAACAAATATCTCAATTTGATTATAATTTATTCTTACTTGCATATTATTCACTGCTTCAAACCAAACATGTAGAGAAGTCTCTACATAAGCACTCAAAATACACACACGCCTTCTACACCACTACATAAAGTAAAGTATTTAATTAGTGAATAATATGCTTTCAGTTACGCAGAAGAAATAAATGCACACAATCAAGTAAAAGTAGCGCAATAAAAACTATATAATGGCAGCAGAAATGTGCTCACTTGGCATACATTGAACTCCTGCATCCCAATAATCAGTCCCCGCTGGCGTACTACTACTACTAGCGTGGCGTACTCCCGCTCATTCATGGAAATCGTTACCAAACGCTACCGGATAACTTGGCAATTGAAGTGAATTAAACTCTTTTTATTGTCTATTTGAATAGGAAAAATAATGATTTAATCTTTCAAGAATTTCATGCATATCAATAAAAGGATAGATGAATTGATATTAAAAATGAGTTTGCATTAAACGACTAGGAAGGAGTTACAGCGCCCGACACTCCTTTCTCTCCAACGCTAACCATTGCGTCCCAGTGAGTTGTAGCTCGCTTGTACCATTCATGAACAGCCTTACAGATCGTGCACAAATTGCTTCAGGCGTGAAAACTTCTGAATAGCTTCGACCAGCCATTCCCATAGCAAGCGAATGTACAATTTCATGCTTCCCAATGACTACGTAGAAATCAATCAAAATGCTGATTAACAAAACAATAAAGGTAGCATTAAACTTTCGCATGTGTTTATCAATCGTCAGTAATGTTTTACTATTAAAATAATCGTGAATGTCTGCAGGTGGAACGACGCGTATAGCATATCGATTATTGCCCAATCGCATTCAGTGAAGCCGATAAGATGTTCTTCATCAATGGACAAGATTAATTCGTAACTTTCATTCATGCCATAGTTACCGCAAAAAAAAAAAGAAACCAAGAAATCTACTGCAGAGGAAGTTTTTTTTATAATAAAAAAGCAATTAGTACTCTTCTAGAATATAGGCGTAGCAAAGAGATTCGTGTCTCAATCACAATGCGTGCTGCAGTGCACATCTGTAATTTAATTGTACTATACGTAGTAACGTTTGCGTAAATATGATTTTGAACTCTACGGAAATGCTCATAAAAGTGTACGTTTACATCACACCGTAATGGCGTCTATGAGATCATTTGATATATTTGAATACAGAGCATTCGGTAATAAATGCGGAAAGCACACAGCTGCACAATCAGTCTTGCAGTAGGAGATTCACTATGAATAAAGCGTGTGATACGAGAGCACAAAGTGGTAGAAGACATTATACACTTCATAAACTAGATTCCAGTGACACCACCTAATATTTATCGCAAGAAAAATGTGTATGAAAGAACCACGCATAAAAACATGATTTGTAGTTGAATTAGACACGTTTGTTCTGAGAAAGTGAATAAGTCTGCTGAGAATATTAAGGGATTTAGACCAGTTCTGGTCGTAGGGCTACGGGACTCGTTTGACAGCTCGCTGAAGAATCTGGTCCGTTAGATACAGTCTATTCTACCACTAGTGGATTGTACCCTTCTTATAACTGCTGCTTTCTAGAGAAAATTCCTCGTAACTGAATGATTCAGGCTGTTGTTTGGAAACTTTTCCTTTATAATACCCGATCCTTTTGTGTTCGAATTGCCGTCGTGTTCAAATATCGGTTTGAAGTGATTCATAATTTTTTAGAATTTGATCCAACATAAAAACGGCAAGAATAATAAAAAAATAACTGTGCCATTAAAAATATTTTAATTTATCAATTACTTACACTATAGGATAACGCGCATTGTAGACTGAGTGTAGATAAATATCGCACTTCCTTACAAAAATAGGAATAAAAAACGGAATCTTTACAGCTTATAGCACATATATTAGCCACTGAGATGGAGCAAATTACCCTGCTAAGTTACTCACATCAATGAGCTTATCTTTCCTTGAGAAACTATATGAGATTCTATGAGCGTTTATGAATATAAATAACTCTGCATAAATAATAAACATCGCTGCAACCTGCAATAAAACATATCGGGATACTTAACAGTTTTATTTTTAAGGTCTTCCAATCGTTGAGACTCACTATAGCCAACGGAATCCATAGTGAGTACATTCCCAATGCGCACCAATGCCAATTATCAATGAATTATTATCTCGTTCCTATAGCATAGTTATAAAATTATCAATGAATTATTATCTCGTTCCTATTGCATAGTTATAAAATTATCAATGAATTATAATCTCGTTCCTATTGCATAGTTATACAATTATCAATGAATTATAATCTCGTTCCTATTGCATAGTTATACAATTATCAATGAATTATTATCTCGTTCCTATTGCATAGTTATACAATTATCAATGAATTATTATCTCGTTCCTATTGCATAGTTATACAATTATCAATTAATTATAATCTCGTTCCTATTGCATAGTTATACAATTATCAATGAATTATTATCTCGTTCCTATTGCATAGTTATAACAATTATCAATGAATTATTATCTCGTTCCTATATAGCATAGTTATAAAATTATCAATGAATTATTATCTCGTTCCTATAGCATAGTTATACAATTATCAATTAATTATAATCTCGTTCCCATTGCATAGTTATAACAATTATCAATGAATTATTATCTCGTTCCTATTGCATAGTTATAACAATTATCAATGAATTATAATCTTATTCCTATTGCGTAGTAATACTAATTAACAATTAATTGTTATGACGTTCCCAATGAGTAATAACAAATATTCCTGGTAATATAGGCGGGCAAATCCAAATTTAGAGATTAATCTATCGCAGATAGCAGAAGAAAAAGAATTAAAAGTTCAAACATGTTGCTTATTGAAAAGGGTAAATCATAAATGAGTCTATTAACAAGACAAGTGGAAAAAAGGAGTCTGGCTTTGCGCTGATGCCATTATGTATTATGCATTATGTATTGCCATTAAAATAAATTAAAAGCCTGCAACTCTATATATTGCTTTAAATATTTAATTCTGAAGGCTTCACAACCTATTCCTTATTGGAAGCCAAATGCCTGTACAATAAATTACCAATGCAAATAATGGAGTTGTAGGAATTGGTGTCTAGAAATGAAAGTGAAGAGCTGTTTACTGAGAGTCCACCGAAAATCTAAAGGCAAAAGTTGGTTGGAAAATAGATCTATTATTAACGAAAGAGAAAAGTGCTTAAGAAATTTATGAGAGGCGTTGCCAATTTATGGTTTAAACGAATGGGCCTCTTGAGGCAGCTCTCTGTCCACTAGATGATGAGACAGATTATTATAGCGCTGTACAGACGATAATCAGTAATTACAAATACTGTGAACACACCAGAGAGAAAAATATAATATTACCGTAGTGACGACGACGTATTGTCAGAGCGGCATGCTGAATAATTAAGTAATTTCAGACAACTGAGCACATCATGAATTGCTTATTTTCAATTTTGTTATATTATAGATTGCAAACTCTTGGCTCCGGTTCGATCAACTTAATAAGGATACAAACGGATGTGCGCGACTTAATCCGCGTTTTCGGGATGTAACCCTTGAGTGACAATTAGATGAATGATTTGAATTAACTTAATGTGTTAATATCAGAACTAAACGCAGTTTTTGAAATATGAAATCATGCAATACGGAAAATAAAACTGAACAACCATTGAGTTTTGGATGCAAATGATCGACATGAGCTTTGCGGACGGCCCTAATGCATCATTGCGCCGCACGACTCCGACTTAACGTCAAGAGCTGGGTTGTTATGTCCACCATCTTCCTCATCTCGCAGCAATTCTGGAATAAATAAAATGTTAAAGCTGCGGGATACTTTGAGAACATGATACACGCTCATAATAAAATATAAATATCAGAAGTTCCATCTGATTCCAGTTACTTCTAGCAGAATAATCAGGCAACATTTATATCCGCTCTAAAAGCAGCATGGCGGTTAAAAGGAGTTATATATAATAAAGGTTAGATATATTTATTTCAGTTATTGGACAAAATGAAATCGTCTTACTTACGACGAGTTCGTTAGATATCAATTCATTTGTTAGTGATAGCTTTGCATAAACACATTCAGCAGAATGATCACAATGAACCCAGATTCAGAGAGTAAAATAAATTTGGAAATAAATTAGATAAAAAATACAACGAGGCCGACCAGGCTTGGGTTCTCTGTAGCGGTAGCGGAAGACCAGGCAGCCCGCGGTGAAGACGAAGGCGCACACCAGCGCTGAGATGAGCGCCGTCACGAACTGCGCCTGCAACCGAACCAAGTCTTACAAGACTGACTAAAATTCTTAGAAAAGACGCCGAAATGCACCGCATCTCGCGCGACGCAGAGTCTGATTTGCAAAAAAAAATTTACTCTAAACTAATATTGCTTACAATCAACGAATAAATTATTATTTTTTGCATCGATTACTTAATTACACATGTTCTAGCATCTGAAAGAAAGCACGTACCTTGTACATATCCTGCCAGAGGTTCTCGGATGGCTTGGGCCGAATTCTCATATGGACGACGACGCCTCGGGTGCCGCCTGAGACACCTGAGGTTCCGGTCACGCAGAGGTGGTCGCCCGCGTGTTCTTTCTTTACTTCCTGTAAGAAGTTTATGTTAAAAATCTAGAAGTCTTGCATATGTTCTCATATGAATTCTTACAGCAAGCCTCAAAGTACAGGTGTAAATGCTAGATTTCACAAAGCATGCCTCTGAAAACAGAGATATCAACACAAAGTATGAAGTAAGCTGTCTGATAGAGTGAATGTTGATGATAACATGTTTGTACTTCAACATATCAGACGCATTATAGGTGCAGCTCAGTATAATTACCGATTTCCAGCGGCAGAGACACTTGAGATACTGTATAATATACATACATATATGATATGACGACATACATGTCGTACGTACATGTGCATGTGAGAAATACGTGGCAATCTTGAATAATCATCAATATGCTTATTACGAGTTCAAGTTCCATACACGATAATCTCAGGTTGACGAATTTGTAAACGGAGAAGAACTGCGAAAAAAATTTCCACGTAAACATGAAAGTTGCAGCATATCGGACAAAAATATCCGTGGAATTGATTTAGAAGTTTGTACCTTCAAGTTGAACGTCGTATGAACGACGTATTGGATGGGTTTCTTTCTGCACAATTAATAAAAATTTTTAATCTAAATTTAGTACAAGAATACGAAACGGGGTCTTCCTTAGGAGGAACTCGTGCAAAAGGCCCGACTCCTCGATCTCCGCGAAATGGAGGACAGTAAGCTACTCCTCAGGCTGTGTTCACTCTATAGCGTGCATATTATTAATTTTCGGTTATTAAGCTTAATCGCTACTTGATTCTAGGCCTCACCGCGAAACGAAGTACACCGTCGCGGTCGACGCTGATGTCCACGTATGAGAGGCCCGCCTCATACGCCGCGCCCCTGCCGTGCAGCATCCAGTACTGCACCGGGTCCGCGGACTCGCACTTCAGCGAGAACTGGCGCGGAAAATAATGCTTACTGCAAGTCAGCTTCCTTTGGACTGTCACACCGCTTACATCGTATGGCTATACGCAAATTTAACATTTAAAATCTAACTTTTGATGGATCATTTTCCATAGAAATGCTATAGAAGGCAAATTAAACATTATATATCACAAAACTTTTATTATACCTACTATAGTGACAGAAAATTTATACGTTTTTATAAGTTCGTACCGTTAGCAGGTAAAGGAAACGCGTTCAGTGTGGTAATTGATAACACTATCCTGGGACGTTATAATTTACATGCGACTTACCATTCCTCCTTCCTGTGCGTATTCTGCTGTGACGATCACAGCCAGTGTCAGCGTCAGGAAAAAGCCGTGGAGACCAGCCATGTTAGCTGTTCGGTCGTCGCAACGAATAAATTTGGACAGCTCTGACAATGAATATAAAGCATGTTTGTCGACAATGTACAAACGTTGATTAAACTACTAAAACAACAGAAGTTCTTTAATAGTACGGTATTTTTCGAATAGATTATAAACTTTCAATAAACATTCAATCTTCTGAAATCGTCTACAAAGTATAATGCACGAGTATGCACCAAAATTGTAACCATAAATTTGTTTGTAAACTATTGAGATCTTGAACGGGTTTTAAACACAAGATTATTTTAGCGCTAAAGCGATACGAGTTCAGATATTTTCCAAGATAGTAAGGATAATCAAAACTTATGCATATAACATTTACATAAATTTTCACAAGATATCTTTTGTGACCGTCTGACACATGTATAAGTTTTCCGCCGCCGGTCCATGACAAGAATTCTAGGAAACGGCGCCAGTGAGTTTTCCTGGTCCCAATTTATGTTCGAACTAGTACCAGCCATTTAAATTCACTGAACAAAATTACTTCGTTAGTGATATGTCGTTGACTCCTCGTCGAAAAGCATTTCAGTATGACAGATATTTGACTTGAAATTGGAGTGTAAAATTAGCAAATGAGAAAGGACGGCTAATTAATTAAGCGCTTTACTTACTCTTTCCAAGGTTCTTTCAGGATGTAAACAAGTGTTAATACTGGATGTGAATGTAGCCCTGCTTATTACATGTGTTAGTTTTAGATTACACTCAATAAAAGTTAATGTTAGAAAGTAATGAATATTTTTCAAGCTTGCAAGGTCTTTGAAATGGAAACTGTCCTGTTGAAATCTTTTTGTAGCATGTGTGCATTTTTGGTTTGTGATCAACAATAAAAAATTTGAATAAAAGATATGTTCTGTTTAAATTTCATTGATAACAGTGGAACTTTGTGCAACGGACGGAAAAAGTCTGAACGGAAAAGAACCAAAAAGTTGGGCTTGTCGGAGTTCCCAGCAGCTCAGAATGGAAGATTACAGTTGATAGACATTGTCTCTAATAATTAGGGGCTGGTGCATAAAAAACATCGAAACACAATTAGAGTACAGCTCTTTTAATATATTTTTTAATCTGATTTAACTTTCAAAGTTAAACTTTCATCTATAAGATAGTAACATGAATGGAAGCAACAAACCGCACAATTGAGTCGTGCAGTCCTGCCACGCACTGCACACCGAGACGAGATCGCAGCCACACTGTGGGACGCCGTGCGTTCACGTCCGGCGACAGTGAGAAGTAACATTGTACATGTATTATTTTACGAAGCGAACGACGATGGATAGACAGTATATTTTCCTGTATAATAAGAAAATTGGGGATAAGCTTCATTCATAATAGCTACAACGGAAATCTATAAATTATTCTACTCGAGGTGTACAAAATTATAAAATAACGTCATGTTTAACCAGTCAAGTTGAACAATTATTCGGCAGTTTTTCTGTAATTTCTCTACGAATGAATGAGGAATCTTGAAGCAAGAAATTTGTAATGCATAGATGTCGCAATTATGTCCCCGGTAAATCACTAGCTGCTGTCGTATAAAGTTATTTTTCTGCAAAAAGAAAGAAAAAACAGCGAATGATAATAATAATAATATAATGTCTCCTGATGTTATTATTCTCCACTTTATGAAATATAAAACATTTAAGTGAAAATGTCAAGTTTTGAAAATTTGAAAATTGAAACTTTATTCTGACGACCATATTGTGGTCGTCCACATTGACGGTTCAAGTTAATATGGAGGAAAAATTATTGTCATGGAAGAAAAATATATGAAATGAACGTGAAGAAATAGTATTTCATTAAGTATTATTATGAAATCTCATGAAGTACGCGATGATATTTTGCTAAAGCAAAATTTAAAAAACAAAGGCGTTACCAGCCGTAGAACATTCAATGTAACATAAATTGCTTCTAGAACTTTAATTTTCTGAAAGTTTCAAAATATTCATCATGACTTGAAGAGACAACTTATTTGATATTGCGTGACATGAAAGTCATAAATAGGCACTCACTTTATTTAGCCTGTTGAGAACTAGACACAAGTAAAGTATGCATTGGATTGTGCCATATACAGTATGCGGCGTTACTGGTGTATTAGGCATATGCAGCGTTAGCACTATAATCGTGATCAAAGCCCAACCCAGCGTTAGAACTATATAATCGTGATCAAAGCCGCAACCCAGCGTTAGCACTATAATCGTAATCAAAGCCCAACCCAGCGTTGGCAAATGCAAGCTTAAGAAAGGAAACTTCAATATTAGGTATATCTGGCCTAACTCCCCTTGAAGTTGAAACTGGAAGCTATCATCAAAGTTGGTGTCTCTTTCGTGCCTGCCAGAACCCCCTTGTGAAAATAACCAATATAATATACGTTTAAAAATTACTTTTTAAAGACAACACTTCCAAAGAATCCAGTATCTCCAATCTTACAGATGTATGTACAATGAATTTCTCATTTAATTTTCGAATATTAAAAAAATTTATTTTTCAATTTTTTTAATATATATAAATTTTTTTAATATATAAATTTTTCCAAAATTATTTATTCTATTAATTGATTCATGCATTGCCTCTGACTTCACACAAGTGTGCAAAATTTCAGATCAATTAGACAGGTAAAAGTGCGTCAAATATCAGTTACCTATAAGATTTGTAGCTGCCAAAATTATTTTTTCAATTTTTTTAATATTGAAAAAAAAAATTAAATTTTTAAAATCATTTATTTTGACATTTGATTCATGCATTGTCTCCAACTTTACACAAGTGTGCAAAATTTCAGATCGATAGGATAAGTAGAAGTGTATTAAATTTTGATTACAAGATTTGTAGCAGACAGACAGACAGACAGACAGACAAACAGATGTCTCTTATACACATCTAGATGTGTATAAGAGACAGCCCCAAGCTCGACGAGTAATTTCACAAGATTCCATTTCGGCGCTTATTTCGCTACGGCAACCGGAACCTAATGCGGACATAGAGCTTCTAATTTACCCGGCCATAAGAACCTGGGGCGTCCGTGTGCCAGCGGCTGACAGGTCTTCGAATTTCGATAGGGTAATATTAAATCTTATTTCCATCTTACGCCACCAAAGATAACAAGTAAAAAATACAAAACCAAAACCGTCGTTTCTACTTGTCCACCAAACCACACCCGTGTCAATGGTGACATCAAGATCAAGAGCACAGTAACGTCATTGCCATGGTCCGGAGTGCTCGCTGCAACCTTGCTAAGAGTTTCAGACGTAGAAGTCCCAGGCAACGCCGTAGAAATTCCGAAGCCTCAGCCACGTACCTGCGTCCTGCTGGCAGGGCGTCACCGCCGTCAGGACGGTTGGGGCCTTGGGGGGTCAACATGGAGAATTACAACCGTTTCATTTCTTTGGTCGTAATTAATTGACCCCCGCAATTGACCCCCTTTGGTCGTAATTAATTGACCCCCACCGCCGTCAGGAGGCTGTAGGTCAACATGGAAAATTATAACCGTTTTATTTCTTCGGTCGTAACGAAATCCCATAAAGCGAAGCTCGTCAATCTTACATGAGAACAATGTACAGTTGCTCGAAATATGTAATGAAACTAAATGAAAAAAAATCGTTAATGCATGCCTGTAAAACAGATTTATCGCTGTTTTATTCTTTACATGTGATTATGCAGGCGCTGCTTATGCATGAGGTGTATGGAGGGAAAGATCGTCAGCTGAATATTAATGTTATTTGAGGTATCAAATAAATAGGTCGTAATTTTAATACTGCGAACTCCATTGCGTATTGCGAATATATACTGTGTCAAAATTATCACTTTAGGAGATACCCCAAATCAATCGTTACTTTCAAAAAGGAACACGATGATTTTTTTATTTCAAGGTAATATATAATTAATTTTCATCATCGAATCTACTTGCCTTTCGATGTTGGTCTGTGAAATTAACGAATAAGGTTTGACTCCAGATGGCAGAGAGATAAATTATGAAGCGACTACTTTTTTTCTCGGTATAATTCAGAGTCTTATCGTAGCTATAAAGACCCCATCATTCGAAAATGACTAATGAATAACTAATAATAACCGAAATACAATGTGAACGATTGTATTCACACTAAAATGCTACAAAATTTGGAGACGTTATACTTATACTGTAGTATTACAAAAATGTAATAAGTAATAATAAAATGCAGTTGAATTTCCCATACGGTGATCTTATGTAAATCCAAAATAAGACAAAAAATTCAAGCGTTGCGCGTTTCAAGAGGAAGTAGAATTCACAGAATCGTGCATCGTGTTGAAAGAGAAGGTTAAAGTTGGAAATATATTCCAGTCTTAGACTTATTACCAACTATTTTCAGTTTTCCTCATGAGAATTTACGTTTTTGCCAGGTAAGCATTCAAGTGGTTTCGACGCTTTTATTACTCAAGGGCAGTGGTGGGCACAGCTAATCGAAAAGTTAGCTTCGATAACCGTTAATCCGCTAACTGAAATATTAGCTTTTATAACGCTAAACCGATAAATCTTCGGAAAATGTAGCTGAATTTACCTCTAACCCCTAACTTTTAGTATATAAATTTCGCTTTGGCTTAATTTTATATGGGTGGGTCTTTAAAACTCTGAAAAATAGACCTATAGAGAGCTTGTAGCATTGACAAGGAGCTTCCCAAAAAGGTGTAGCATGCCAAGATCATATGATGGTCAAGATGTACATAAATAATTAAATGAACAAATGAAATTAAACAGTAGTTGACATTCAACATATAGTTTATTAAACGAATAAGAAAGTTTTAAACGAATAAGAGATAATAAGAAATAAAAGCACACAGGTAAAAGCAGGGTTACACGCTGCTCTCACTCAGGCTTACCCTTCATCTCCTCGAGGTGATGATTGTTGCCCTTGATGAACCTCAGCCTCTCAATGAGGCGTCAACCAATCACGTCTTGTGCTACTAAATTATGTAGCAGTAACACAAGACTTGATTGGTTGATGTATATATGTTGATGTAATCAGCCATCTGTCCGACACATGGCTAACGATACTTAGCATTAAATATTAACACCTGAATTTTCTATCAGAATAGATTTTTAAACGTTTTTATCGGACTGCCAGTTAGCGGAACTAAATTTAGCGATAGCTAATTGGCCCGCTAATGGTTTTTAAAGTTAGCTGAAAAGCTAATCATATAAGGAAAAAGTTAGCTTCGCTAATTAGCGGTAGTGGAACTGTGCCCACCACTGCTTCGGGGTTTTGACAAAGTGCAAATTTAATAATTTCGTCAATTTTTATGGCTTAAACTATTTTATACCTTCTGGATTAACATGAGCAAGTTTTTATATTTGGCAGAAATAGTTTGTTAAAAAATTCTGCACCTTTGCTCAACCTTCCTCGACTGCAACGATATGACTATATACCTGCATTAATATTGCATTTAAAATACAACACTATTTCATAACAATTAATTTGTTAACTTCTAAATTACTGCAATAAATGTAAATTGCGAAAAAGTTGAACACAAAAAACATCAGTACAGCTTCCTTCGATGTTAAGATAGGACCAATTTGAGTGGTAGATCTTACAGATCTGGATTTTTATTACAGTACGGCGCTTTTCATTCTAAAATACGATAAATTATTGGTAGCATCTGGGCATCAATCAGAATGCCCGGTGCGTAAATTGTTTTATGATTGTGTTTATGGAAGCAGGCACAAGCAACGGGTCTCAAACTCCTCTTATCATATGACTGCACATATGTCCAGTTTTTAAAACCATCAGATAGATCTACGAAGAATATAAGTTTCTGACGTTGCCAGGAATGCGTCACACTAAAATGCTACATGCATTTGACTACACTATAGGCATTTTATTCAGTCTCACTTGGCAATAGCGCTAAAAGTAGTTCAAAAAGAAGGAATTATTAGAGATATCAAGTGTTAGTATCTATTTTTCAGAATAATGCAAAAGTTGGATGTCAACAATGGACTGGAATCCTACAGCTCTCATACTTCGGACGAGGCTATAGGATGAAGCGCACAGCTTAATTGTTCTTTCACTATAGCAGCAAAAAAGCTCGTCCTAGCATATACAGACCAGAAAAAATTGCGGACTTTGCTTCCTGAAAGGATTGCTATGCTAATATAGGAGATTACAAGGAGAATACGCTAAATAATAAATTGTTTATTATATTAAGTTGGAAAATACGAGTCACAACTATAAGGGCGTTTGTCCACATCGGCACTCGGCATTGCGCCTAATATTTATTTTTGCTCCATTAGAAACTTCAATAAAATCAAATTACTTATTTAATAATAATTTTTAGAAATAAGTTAGAACTTTGATTTTCAGGTACAATCATTTTTGTAGATTATTTTTAAAAGCAAATGAATATTTATCTCGAATCCTTACTTATTTGCAAAGTCGTAAAATGAAAGTAATGCAAAATGATTATATATTTTGAACAATTTTTCAATAATGAAAATTAATTCCTTAATTGCAAAACATTTCTAAAACACTTAAAATGAAAAATTCTTCTAATTTGCTGTCGATTTCTAAAGAGACTTACACATATACGTTCATATTGATGTTATAATCAGCTAAAGCAATCAATAAATTCACATTACAATAAATGTCATAAAAGAAATTTTGAGACATGAATGTATTCAACATAAGCGTAAACAATACATTACATAATTTTAAATTAAAAGGTTGGTTCGTGGCCGGAAGGATTCGACGATAGAAAGAAACATCGTTTTCACATATTGATGATAAGATCATTTTCTCCACGTCTGTTCCTGTTTGGAATTTCATCTCGACCAAAACTTGTTTTTGACTTTTGCATTCGCTTTCAATTTCGAGGGCTTGTACACAATGTACAGCATTTCCAAAGAAATCAAACTATGACTATTATTATTTTATTTCTTTGAATTATCGCATTTCCAGTCGACGTTTTTTTGAGCGAAATAATTTTATTTAAATGATTTTAATTGTATTGATAGAGCTACATCTTCGTGTTGAAAGATTCCGAGTCGATATCCAAAGCAGGGTTGTTGTGGCCCAATTCGTCTGCCCCGTTGAGAAGCACTGAAATGGCAAGAATAGAGCATTTGAAACCGTCAAATTTTATAGAGTTCTAAGCAAGATATTAAGGGGACCGACTACCCTCCGGAAAAACTTCTAAAGTTATTATCCGATCATCATGAAACTTCACATACATACGTAAAATGTAAAAATAAGAACATTTTGCATCTATGAATTTTTCGAAAAAATTGATAGAAAACGTGAAATTCATAGAAAACGGCTAAAAAGGGGTACTTTAGAAAATCTATCTCCTCCTACAAATATCATCCTACAACATCGAGACACGTATCATTCAGTTCGTAAGGACCATACCTAAAAATTTGATGATCACTTTTCTCATTTTCCCCTTAGTTTTTTTTGTATGTGCGTTTTATCCCATTTTTCTCATTTTTCCCCCCTCCCCCCCCTTCTCCCCCATATAAAAAACGAACCAGACAGAAATTTAAAAAAATTAAAAAAATGATCATCAAATTTTTAGGTAATTTCCTTACGAATCGAATGGTGTATGTCTCTATGCTGTAGCTTGAAAATTGTAGGAGGAGATAGGTTTTCCGTGACAATAAGTTGACAGGACGGCGCGACAAAGTCCCGTGCGCCTCGAAATAGGCACTCAATGTAGCATGGATACCAAACTACAGGCTTCTGTAGCTTAATCCACTCAAGGATGCTAGCAGCAACTTGTAGCGCACCCCTCCGTACAAAGTTAGGAGGGTAACTGAGCTCAGATGCCAGATACACCAAATATATGTAGTCTTGCCGCTGTAATTTTTTTAGGTCTATTTACTGAAGGAACTCCACCCCCCCACCCCCCGTTAAAGCCCGGCTGTGTGCGTCAATATTGCCGTACATGGATCGCAGTAGTATCGTTGGAAAGCTCAGAATGTCATCTTTAAGATGAGACTAAGCACGTAACTGCAGCACAACTCAAGTAGAAACTATATTCAAAGATTTTAGCAGCTAATTACTTTATATCTAATTAGTTAAAGAACTCTCCCACCCGCTTCCCTTTAAAGAGACGTCATGAACGTAAATATTGGCGTACAGCGATGGCAGTGGTGCCATTGGAAAGCTTTCAGATGAGCACAAAAACCGGAAAACGCAAAAATTGAAAATTTTAGGGTAGTCGGTCCCCTTAAAAGACATTAAAAAGTAATCAAGAAAAAAACAAGATATTAAAAGATAATCAGTACAGATCATGGCAAAAAATTTTCATATCGAAAGATCCCGGCAAACTAAGGTAAAAATTATGTGTTTGACAGTCATTTAAAATTATTGATCGTAATCATTTTGAAAGTTTGCAATTTCTTGACCATTCCGTAAATACAGTGTCATTGAACTTCCTCTGACGCGTTAAGAAATTACTGAAAAATTCCTGAAATTCTTACATGGTCCAATCAACAAATAAGATTTCATATGAATCTGTCTGCAGCAGCAGTGAAAACCTGTTCTACATTCGTCGTAGAATGTACTTATAACGTTAGAACAGTTAAGTTTAGTATGAACTCTGACGATATTTATGCAGGCTCGTTTCGTATCGTTTTAGACGAGCTAAATGTCTTTGGTGTAAATAATGCAAAATAATTGACTTATCAAAAATGAACATTAGATGACTCTTCACCACGTGTTTATAATACAACGAGACCGACCAGGCTTGGGTTCTCTGTAGCGGTAGCGGAAGACCAGGCAGCCCGCGGTGAAGACGAAGGCGCACACCAGCGCTGAGATGAGCGCCGTCACGAACTGCGCCTGCAACCAAACCAAGTCTTACAAGACGGACAACAATTCTTAGAAAAACCACCGAAATCCAACGCCTAAAATGCACCGCATTTTGTACAACGAAAAGTCTGATCTACAAAAATTGTACCCTAAACTAAATATTTCCTACTACATAATTGCGAACAAATGAGTTATATTCTATATCGATTATTTAATTTTGCGTGCTCTAGCGCTTGAACTAAAGCACGTACCTTGTACATGTCCTGCCAGAGGTTCTCGGAGGGCCGTGGCCGAACTTTCATGGCGACGGTTACGCCTCGTGTGCCGCCAGCGACTCCAGAGGTCCGTGTCACGCAGAGGTGGTCGCCCGCGTGTTCTGTCTTAACATCCTGGAAAAGCATGTAAAATGAAACTCAGTAACGACCAGATATATTCCACATGGCTAAGTTGTTTGAATCATTAGCTTATAACTCGTCATGAGACAACTTATATAGAGTAGTTATCCGTTATAATATGCAAGCCCCATTTGCATGCTTTCTTGAACACTGATGAAGACAGTGAGGTATGTCATAGATACAGTCTTCATAATACACGAAAACTTATATGCACATTCCAATTAATTAATACGTACAGAATATTAGTGAAAATAATGATCATCGGTTTTCATAATATAAAACAGAGAATTCTATATAAGTACTTATATCATTAGTCTGCTTATATCGCAAGTTCACAAGGAATTTAAAAGCAAAGAAAACGCCAAGAAAATTCACCATATCGATATTGAAAACGTTTCGGAGTCCAGCTCCATCATCAGTTCGACTAAACTAAAAATGAATAAAATCACTTTAAAAGTCAAAATTCAAAGACAGACATAAAACCTAAACAAGACCTAACATTATATCGAAATAAACAGCACTAGTTATGAACAACTTAGTCCTAGGGGTACGACAAGAATATAAAATCCTAGCGATTTACTATTTCCAGATTATATGAGCTAAACGCATTATTGAGACATGGTTTTCGTTTGAAGATATGTAGAGACTCCAAAATTCTCAAATCCGAGCAGCCAGAAGTGGAACCGAGTATCCTGAAATCACTCTCAGATACAGCCACGTCGCACTGTTCAGCATGGAGGCGCACGGAAGAATGAGGAGGCTTGGCGAGAGGCAAGTTAGAACGATAGCTCCTGCCACGGTGTTCAGAAACCCGGATGTAGAAGTTACGCGACGTCATTCCAACGTACGTAGAAGCACAGCGTGCACAACAGAACTCATAGACCAGGTTTGACAGCATCCGAGCAGGAATAACGTCCTTATACCTGAAGAAAGAACCAATTTTGAAATTATTTACCAGTAAAACATGCAAATTTATATTTGGGAAATATTTCAAACACAGTTTGAAAAATTTCCCTGTTATTTTTGAAATATTTGACCGTGGCAGGAGCTATCGTTCTAACTTGCCTCTCGCCAAGCCTCCTCATTCTTCCGTGCGCCTCCATGCTGAACAGTGCGACGTGGCTGTATCTGAGAGTGATTTCAGGATACTCGGTTCCACTTCTGGCGGCTCGGATTTGGGAATTTTGGAGTCTCTACATATCTTCAAACGAAAACCATGTCTCAATAATGCGTTTAGCTCATATAATCTGGAAATAGTAAATCGCTAGGATTTTATATTCTTGTCGTACCCATAGGACTAAGTTGTTCATAACTAGTCCTGTTTATTTCGATATAATGTTAGGTCTTGTTTAGGTTTTATGTCTGTCTTTGAATTTTGACTTTTAAAGTGATTTTATTCATTTTTAGTTTAGTCGAACTGATGATGGAGCTGGACTCCGAAACGTTTTCAATATCGATATGGTGAATTTTCTTGGCGTTTTCTTTGCTTTTAAATTCCTAGAGAATTCTATAATTCATTTTCATAAAAGGCAACAACAATTATTTTTTGTGTCTGTCGTTTTTAGACAAATTCAGTTATGGTACACCCTATTCCTCTCAAGAAAATGCACGACCGCAGCAGGAGCTCAGCTCCAAACTTTTGCACCAAATTTCTTTCTCGCCACACACGCTGACTCAGCTCCTCCTCAGGCTGTGCTTATTGCAGCTTAAAAAAAGTTATTTTTTTAGCTTAGTAAGCTTTAATCGCCACGTGATCGCACTCCTCACCGCGAAGTGGAGGACACCGTCGCTGTCGACGCTGATGTCGATATCCTCGTATGTGAGGCCCGCCTCATACGCCGCGCCCCTGCCGTGCAGCATCCAGTACTGCACCGGGTCCGCGGACTCGCACTTCAGAGAGAACTGGAGCGGAAATAACGTTAATAAATTCCTAACCATTTAGTGCTGGGTTGCCTGAAATTATTAGTTATAATAGGAACGTTTAAAGTATTTTCCTATTCACGATTCTGAACTGAATTGAACATTCCGCATGCGGTGCTGTCAAGTTTAATCAGTAGTTTGTTAATTGGAGAATTCTTAAACAAAGAATAAAATAAGCGAACGCTAAAATTCAATTGCGTAGTATATTATATGAAAGTTTTTTTTTAAATTCATATGCTTACGGTTTCTCCTTCCATGGCATAGTCGGCGTAGGCAACCGAAAACAGCGCAAGAATGAGGAACGCCATCATGAGAGAACCCATTATAAGCCCTGAACCTGTGTATGAAAAAATTAATTATAAACCTGCAAATTAGCCTACTGATATTCTTGTGCATCGATAAAGAGGATTAACTCGATCGTAATTGAGTCATTATAAACGTAACTCATCGTAATTGAGTGGAAAAGGTTCCAAAGAGACCCATTTTCATTTTAATTATTTCTTCAAAACAAGCAAAATTTCACAGTGTGTAGCCCGCGTAAAATATGTAAAATTGTTAAATATTACTTCTGGTATTTTAAATTTATAAAGTGGCTTTGATGCATGAGCACGTAATGCGACCAGGCAGGGAATTTCATCAGCCCCAACCTCCAAATACGGACACCAACAAAACAAGGCCATTGTTCCCTAAAGTTAAATACCATCATATATACTTGACATGATTGGACGGAGTGGATTGCGGAAAATATTATATGGACTCTATTGAATAATTGTGAGATAAATAATAAAAGTTTATAATTTGAGCATATATGAACTAATTTTATTGTTTAACTAAATTGAGCATGCATTTATTGACGCGTGATTTCCTTCTTTCATGCTTGTTTTGCATTTACCCTTAAAAGGCAAAATAATTCGTCATATAATAACAAATTAATCTCCTGAAAAAATATTTAGTACTTCCCTCGACTTGAGATAATATAAGAGATATTCTGCTATCTTGATCGTGTCATGCAACAAGTTTGATAATCCGACCAGGATATTTTTCGTGAAAAACTAGTTCGAAAGAAATTTCGCAAATGGTCTTTAGTTTAATTTAAGGCGATTTCAAACTTGGCAATAACCAATTTGCAACTCCTTGGTACCAAAAGAAGTAAAAAGCAATTTTAAGTAGAAGTAAGTATTTAATACATTAAAAATTATTATTCACTCTGATTGGTATAGTTTTAGATGGCAGAATTTGTTTGTTTATATGCGTACTATTAATGACCAGAGAGTGCATTACAATTTTTAAGGAGTCGAACAATCCTTTAGATGATGTTGGTAGATCAAAATGCGGGTTTAACAAGTTATAATAATATATAAACTGCGTTTCGAATGTAACAATATTCATTTTGAACGATTAAATTTTGTTAGACATAAGTACATATAATACACGTAAAACGGATACAACACAAAAATTTCCAGCCAGGGAGTCCCTCGGAAAACCATCTCAAAATTTAGACAAATCCGGTAGTTTTGAAAGAGATGGCTGGGGTCCATTCCAAAGAGACGAGGGTTTCAGCAATCGTTGGTCGAATAATGTCGTGCACTTCAGCATGATGACGATGCTGGTGGGTTTCTCCAGCACAGTGCGCGCGACGATCTTGTGAGCTCGTCTCGGGGTGTTCCTCTGCCCTCCAGACTGAAGATGGCATGTTAGGCGGTCTCGAAAACGTGTTTGTTAAATCCAATTACTCCAATTTAGTTCAAATTATGAAAAAGTCTGCAACCTTCTTTGAAGTAAAATTTATAGACTGCAACAGCATCTTGGAGAGCTCCTTCTTTTTTGCAGCGTCCATTGTTGCGTATAGTCAGGAGTTTGATGTTGTCAAGGGTGTCACCGAGCTTGTTGAATTCATCAATAATCTTGAGATGATGTTGCTTATTTGTAATACACAATTGTTGTGGTAGTTGTTAGTTCAATTGCTCCAGTGCAGGCCAAAAGATGAAGAAGTCTACCACCTTCTTTGAAGCAAAATTTATAGACTATCCCGGCATCTCGAAGAACTACTTTGTTGCAGTGGTCATGCATTGCTTCATATAGTCCGGAGTTTGCCGTCACCACGGGTTTCACGGAGCCTTTTAATTCATCGATAATCTTGTGATAAAGCTGCTCGCTTTTAAGGCTTTAAACAAAGGCGATGAGCAAATTAAGGTTTAATTCGTGTAAGACGCTTCAGATCAAGTAAACTTGAGAAAAGAGTTCGAGCACGCGTTCCCGTATCGAGAAATCGAGACGAATACACAATTATGTTACAATGTCAACCTCATTATTTACAAACCATCAGTAGGTATAAAGAAAAAGAATGCAAAATTCACAGCCTAAGAAATTCAGAAATTTCTAACATTTTTGTGCTTTGAGACAGTTTGAGATTCGTTTCTGAGTCTTAAAATTTCATATTTTTGAAACTCATGTCATAAAAAGTCGAAGCTTTCACAGTTCTACGTATTACACGATCTCTCAACTGATATTGTAAACGCTGGTGGCAATAACTCAGTAAAACAATCAAGATTGCGCCTTATCCTGCGTATCAACGCCAAGTTAGACATGATTAAAATATTCAGGCCTCACCACTACTAAATTACATTGATAAGAATGCGTTTTTTGGCAGTCAATGTGTTTTTTTTCGATCGAAAAAGCATAGTCAAACAAGTGAACTTACTGCAAAACGGAAACTGTAAGTCTGTTGGCTGATATGTTTCAGTATTTATCATGATTGAAGGAAATAAATTTATTAGTTAAAGTTTTGTCAGTGACCTGACGGGATATTAGTGACCTAATGAGTGAGTGAGGCTAATGACTTGTAAACAAGAAATAAATTGAGAATTTTGAATTCACATTTTCACAGCCGGAAGCTTCATTGACCACGCCCACTTACATTGAGTATTAAATGTATTATATATTATAGGATATAGAACATACAATCCATAATAGGATTGTTTTAAACAACAACATCAACACATCTGAACACATTGGACGGTTCCATAGTATCGAGGCAACTCTTTTTTTTTTCATGCAAGAGTCGCACACTCATTATTTGTGCAGAGCCTTAAAAACACCTGCGAGTGAGAGAGTATGGGAGAATATGACATAATAACTCATAACTTTTGAACGAATGCAGCTTAAATACCCTTGCAACAAAATAAAATTAAATAAAGGATGAATAAACTTTCCGAGAAACACACGCACAAAGGAAAAAGTGACTAACCGTAAAAAGTTTAAGACGCAACGCAGCCACTCGCACAAGTCGCACCTCTGCAACTGGCAACCGCTGGAAGGCCACCACTACACTACACTACGGTGAACGGATGCCATGCGACCGACCACTCTTCCCTACGTACGTCATCTGCACGCACACACTCGCTCATAACTCTGTTACTACTTGCAGAGAGTGCAGTATTAGTAATAAAAAATAGTGAGTGCGTGTACAAATTTCTACATTTGTATTATTATATCGGGTGCGGATGACAGGAGTCGCGAATTTCAGAAAATTTCAATGTCTGACTGAAACCTCGAATGTTCCTGAATATTCTTGCCTTTGTGGTTTAATTTTTTACTTAAGTCTAAAGCAATACCCTACGTGCATCCGAAACGACTCACGCAGTCAATGACATTTCGTAACTGCATTGGTCCCGACATGGGGCTGCTTAGTATTGATATATAGGTCGGTGTTCTGATTAACAATTGATCAGTGATTTTGAATAATATTTCATCACCTTTAGTAAATGAGATATGAAATAGAAGAGTAGGTACATTACCAGCATGGTTGAACTATACTATTTTAACCACGCGTTACTAGCCTCACTCTGTGACCCTATAAATTGGCGAAATTATGGAATTTTCTTTTCCGCGGCAATAAATGAATCAATTGTTCGCCACGTCCGCGTTTAAGTATAATCTCAGACAAAGACAAAGAAAGGACAAATTTTAAGACAATTAAAAACTATAGAACGTATAAACATACATTGTGAATAGATACAAGACTTTAAAGTATATGTCGGTGGATTGATAATCGCTTCGAGTTGAATACAATTATATTCACCCAAATGTTTACTATTGGCAAAATATTATAAGACTGAGCATGACATAAAATAAAGCTCGCTTGACCAATAAATTAAGTTGTGCACCTTGGCAAATTCTCAAATGGCGGATTCTCAACCTCGTTGACGATTATTATGGTTGAATTAATTCAACAAAGGGCGATTATCATCAGGAACGTTAAGTTTTCAGTTAGCCATTTAAATTTGTAACAAGTTTGATAGAAAACGTGGAAGGGGGGATGACAAAAAAAAATCTCCACCCTACACCCGTAGCAGCAGGTAGCTAGGCAGAAGTGCCGAACCGGTCATGGTCATCAGACATCAGCTTGGAACTGAGAGTAGCACAAATTAAAATAAAGATGTTTGACAATAGTTTATTTTTAGATATCCCACGATGGCACGATCACTGAATTTGGACACCGGCCGCGAGTCCGGCCGTAAATTTGTCCGAGACGCCCGAGTAACCGTATACATGGTTGTATAAAGTAACTCGGGAAGAGCTCAACCGAGGAGTTTGACAGCACTTTCAATTACTTGGCAGGGATAATTAAAGTAAAGATTCCTATTTTGATGATTATTACTGCATAATTAGGGTGTGATTATGTGATTAGGACCAATACCTGACGCTGAGGAAAGGATAATTACCGCTGGAGGTGTAGGTATTTACCGGCGAGTTCGGAGATATGTACAAGTAGTTTCGTTCGTATATAAATATATACACAAAATTTATAATTACCTTGTTGAATTTTCCTTAAAGTTTAAATTCGAAATATTACAAAATATATGGCTTCATCACCAGTGAATTTGTTATACATTTGGTGATGAAATGTTTTGAATATATTATTGTTATGGACTTATGGTCGATATAACGCATTATATAATACAATTGCATACGAAGAAACATTCACTCATGATTCAGCTTTTTAATTCAGCAGATGAACAAACACTTTAAAAGGTTAGTCTAATGACAGATCACGTTATTCACGTACGGAAGTTAGACTTAACGCAAACGTGCGGTAGCCTAGGTAGTTGTTATTTCAATATTTGTGTAAAACATTAAACTTCTTCTTCACCTTCAACTCGTCACCAATCACACATTAAGTTTACATTTTATGACGTTGTATGATACTTGCTGGGATTAGTTATATAAGTTTCCGTACTATTGTAATAAGTGTGAAATTATCAAAGTTTACTAAATCAGTCTGAGGTTCTGGCAATTTCCAGCCAATACACAGGGGTCTATTGGGTTACTGATACTGAGTACTGACTCGCCAAGTTTCTCGACTGAACTCTCTGAAGCGGGAAGCCCACTCAAGGGCTACGGTTACTGTACTCTGTTGAGGACTTGAGGTTGTCAGCCATGTGTTATTGTGTTAGCGGCATTATTGGCGTGTTTGTAGCTTACTACTGTAGACTAGTCAGTTGGTAAATTGCTTTAGTAGTATCCCTAGTAGGGCAAATAAAATAATAATAAGTAGGCCTATGTCTGTCGAAGGTATTTGAGACAGAATGAACATTGAACAGAGTGTTAGGTACTTATATTTTTCAGTTTTTGAGTTGCTTCAGTTGCAGCACCAAAAACTATAGCCTACTGTATAGGCTACATAGTACTACTGTCAGTCTGTCAGTGAGTGTCAGTGGTCACTGGCCGAGTGGCCATGGCCAGAACTGCAATTTTGATTGCCATGTAGCCTAATAACTTAATAAGTTATTAAGTATTAAGATGGTCTATTACAGGTCTAATTATTCTAACATGCTTGAAACTGGTGCTTTAAGTTTTTTTTACATAAATAGCCTATAATGCCCTACCTATATCATATCATTCCTAATGATTAGTGAAGGCTGGCAATTTTAGTGCTGTGGCAATGTTATCAAAATTGATTCACTGGTTCAGTCACATCAGACTGAATCAGAGTTCAGTGCATGTTGCATGATATTCATTGTTAACAGACAACAGTTGTTTTTCATAATTTTTTTACTGTAAAAACATGAATGTATAGTAAAATGTGCTGTTTAAACTTGAATATAAATTTTGGCAAATTGGCAACATGGTAAATTTACATTAATAATTACAATTTTCAATACTGCCTAGGCTACTGCCACTGGTAGTGGTAGGGTTAGTTAATCAGGCAGACACCGGCACGCCAGCAGCCAGACAGCATCCAAATGGCATTTAGGCCATAGCCCCTTGTTGGATTATGCTATTTATGGGAAAATGATACTCTTTGAGTCTTTGTTATGGATGTAACCAACTAACCATGTATCAACTTACAAGAATGGGAAAACTTCTACCATTAGCCTTAGGGGCTGCGACTAGAGCTTTTCTGCCATTTCCAAAACTGTAATATTTCTGCCAGATGAATTACCTCCTATCTAATTAACAAAACTGCGTGATCAGGCTGTGAGATTCCAAATTTATAAAAAATTCGTCACGGAACTGCAAAATTTTGAAAACAAGTAGGAAAATTCCCATCTTGTGGCAAGTAGGCTAGCCTATGATATAATATTTACCCTACTCATTTCTTTTATATTCCACTATTAGTCTTTACTCTTATTATACAATATGTATCAAATGCACATATAATTTTCTCAGATACCTGTCTCCTACCACTAAAGCATCAATTAATTTTGCATCATAGCAGTACTACCCTACTATCAATCCTCATTCCTCAAGGCTCAATGATACTAGTCACTGGAGAGTGGAGACACAGAAATTTCCAGAAAACAGACCATGCATGCACTTGGCTCACCACTCTTCAGGAAAAAATATCACTGGTCACTGGTCAAAACTATGATTTGCAGTGTTACATAACCACATACTGACTGCAAAGCTGTTTTGATCTGACTATGAAGTTGTTGTATAGTTTTGTTAAATATAGTGGTCTTTCTATGGAAGGCTGGCTATGGGTGGTAACTATAGTGGCTTTGATATTTAAGCTTATCAATTATCCTCTTATATCAAAAGCATATCTCAACTGTCTCATAACTTCTATGTAAAAAACATTGTGTATTCTTCTGTTCAGATGTAAATATTCTTATTATTTGAATGCCCTTTATGGACAACAGTTTGCTCATTATTGCTCTGATTTGAGATGTGCCATTATTCAAAGAACATCTGATCCACTATTGTTCAGAGTATATATATCCACACCCTTGGTGAGTACAAAATATCAGCTGTGAAATGTTCTGGATTCAAACCAAATTTTATAAACTTGAAAGTTTAAATCAACAATTCATGAACCATGTTCATTCAATTCTCTTGTTCATTCAATTCTCTAAGTTCATACATCAATCTGATTAAAAAATCTTGCTTAATAAGTGCAACTTTTCTTTATTGTGGAGTAATAGAAGGTTGACTTTTGAGTAGAGTGGTCTTCACTTTACCTTCCACTCATATTAACCTAAGGTCAACTTGTGTTGAGTGATCCTCATGAATGCATCATGATGTTTAATTGGTTAATCATGAATAAATTAATATTTTTGTATTTTCTGTTGATAACTTTAATCCTAATTTTATGTTTTTCAAATAAATACTTTATCATCAGTAAGGCAACATTCAAATCAGTTATCATTAAGGCTATAAGCTGACCTTTAATAATCTGATCATTTTTAGTGTAAACTGAAACAATGGCTACAATTTTACTGATAAATTGAAAGCTTGTGTATAGGATCTAAAAAACAATATATAGTCGGATGGGGTAAGACAAGACCGAAATCACTAACAAGCCTGTAGCATCTATATATACCATGCATAACTAAAAAACCCTAAAACTATCACCAGGTGTAGTTATGCGATGGGCTTCTAAGCTACAACTCAGATGTTTTGCATCTAACATAGTTTTCTGTACAGATTAAAAAAAGTGAGCTGGTACCATCTTACCCCACTGGAGTAAGATAGAACCAGGCTGGGGTAAGAAAGGACCAACTGGGAATTCTTATGTTACAAAGTTTTTAGTAAAAGTACAAATCTGATATTCAATATTATCCATCTAGAAACACATTATTTGATTAAACAACCACTTGTTACTGTTTTGTGTTGTGGGAAGTCAACTCTAATATCAGTCACATTGAAGTTTTTGTCATGAGAAAACTTTGTTAAGCATAGTAATAGTGGGTTGGGTTTGGTTCATTGTAAAGCACTGCTAAATGCTTCATGTATATTCCATTAGTGTCATTGTCTGAAAAATTTATCAAATTGGTAATAAAACCAATGAATAATAACTCGAGTGTCATGTGTTTTCTTGTTAACTGCATTTGTGGTGCACTTCTTCAAACATAGCTCATGCCCTCTCACAAAGTTGTGATAATAATTATTTTTTATGTTTCACACAGTGATTTTTCCCCCAGCCAATCTTGCACGTAGTTCTGCAGCTCACTAATGGGAATAGACCTTCTTATTTTCTATATCCCTTTGATGCAATTTAAAATAGTGCTCTAAATTTCTCTAATTAAAAAATCCAACAAGTTATAATGAAGTTTGAGCAAAAAATAAAAATTTTGACCAAAATACTCCATGTACTACACAATAATATATTCATTTAAAAACTATTTTTGATAAACTGTAGGGTAATAGAGGACCATTTGTAGGATAAGACAGGACCATTTGTGGGGTAATATAGGACCACTTGTGGGTTAAAACAGGATCATTTAGTGGTCCCGTCTTACCCCTTGTCCAGTCCTTTTTTACCCCATTTTAGAATAGTTGTCAGGCAGTGATGGTAGCAGGTAGGAATGCCTAGTATGTCTAAAAAGTTGCTTATTACTTGAGGTTACCTGCCTACATCCACAAACCTGGCCAAAATTTTTTTTGTCATTAGACAGAGCTTATTTCCCAAACATGGTTAACTATTTTGTGACCCTTCTTTACATAGGTTTTCTTTAAAAATTAGCCCAAAATTCATTATTCGCAGAAGAGGGTTGACACAAACACTGAAATGACAGGCAATGACTGCTCTAACACATTCTTTTGTCAAATTGAATTCAGTGCAATTAGAATGCACGCCATGGGCTGGTCCTTTCTTACCCCATGAAGGCTGCGATCCTGTCTTACCCCATTTGACTAAATATGGTGATTAAAGTTATTTGTTTTAATTCGGTGTTTCTGTACCTCAAAACTCTAGAAAGAGATTTTTAAAATAATATCGTTGTAACTGGTAACATGCAATATGCATACTTTGAAATGGTCCTAAAATTTAATTTTCTTTTACAAAATTTTACCTAGTTGCATACTCTCATGCTCAAGTAAATCATAGAAGAGTATAATTTAATTATCAATTTTCCTAGAATCTAGAAAGAAATACTGAACCACAGCATTTTACCTTGCATTATTCATATACTCAATCATCTTTTTCCTTCGCATCTTATCTGCCTACTTTTTGTGTGTACAAATGATTTCCAATCTTTCTATTTGGTTGCTAATGCATTGTATGTTTGCAGGTGTCAACAATGGTTGATGTTATTAGCAGTTTGCAGGACTGCATAGACAAACTGCAGAGAGTGGAAATTGTAAGTACTTGCTCAGTTTGTGTTAAAATTGTGTAAAATGCTTCTTTATTTGGTTGTTCAGGTATTTTTTCATATAAATAATAGAATATATCTATATTTTGAATTTACCAGGTACTTTCAATTGTCTTACCACTTCTTGAGTATACCCAGAATCATTCTATGTATGGTAATTGTGGTTTTATTGTCACTTGATGTTGAGTCTCATACTTTGAATATGGTTTCCATATCTTAAAGGTTTTGAATCAGCAGAGTTCCTTGTTGTCATTTTATTTAGGTTGCCTGTTTTAAAGAAACAACGTTTGACATTTTATTTCATTTATTGAACATATCTTAATTGCAATTTTTACTGTAATTCATATCTCGTTGCGCTTGGCCTGAAGTTGATAACCAGCCACAGTGTGAGTAATTGCAAGGGGCTTCTAAGGATAAACAATAGGAATCGAGGAATTTTGAGCTCCTGTTCAAGAGGGATTGCATTTTCAAACTCAAGAGAGCAAAGTATGGAGCTGTATTGAAAATGCTGTTGTCTGAATTTTGCTCCGTGTATATAAGAAGGCTACTCTAATTTAGAATTCATATCGTTACAGTCAGCATTTGAGTTGTCAACATTGATGGCAATTGTTAAAGATCTAATTTCTTCACTATTTAAACATTTCTGTTCGTGCTGTTATCTATCCATTTTTGGCATCCCAATCACGCAGTTGCTTTAGGAACGGAGCGTAAAGATGCGTGAGGCTAACTCCGTCACTGAGGGTTGTTGTAGCCGTAGCTGTATCTGCCTGCGTTATAGACCGTGCAGTCAATGCATTGCTGACACGAACGTCTTGCCCGTCTGAACTATTCCTACGACGGACACTCGTTTTCACCCCCTGTGCTTCCCTGCTTGTGGTGTCCTCTCTGAACGAGGAGTGGCTTTCATCGAGTTGCTTGAACTCAGTTTTCATTTTTTCGCGCTTCTTTTGAGATTCTCTAAGTACTCGGCTGGGCCGGAGACGCTTGTTTGGTTTTGCGTTCATGTTTCTGTTCCTTCTAATTTTTCCATCTTTCGGTGGTGGCCGCAATTTTGTGTTTTGCAGGACTTTTTGGTGCTGTCGCAAATGATGTCTCTTGACTTCTGCTGCCGATCGTTGTGTTGAAGTCGACGGCTGGATAGAGCTTCTCGTTGCTGATTCCTGAGTTTCAATTTCGTTCGACTCACCCAAGTCCTCTTGCGAGTGATGCAAGTTCCCAGCTTGTCGTTCTTCGGAAATATTTTCACCAGAAAACTCAGCTCTGCTTTTTTGTTCGGAAAGTTCAAGGGACTTACTGCGTCGAAGCGACTCGTCGTTGAAACCATTTGAGGGTAAATTGGCTGAGAGGTTCATTTGGTGACCTTCATTGATTTCTGCTGGATCGTGCCATTGAGGACGTCTACGTAATCGCGAACGCCGCTCCAGAAAAGGGTATTGACGTGCTAATCTATCGCGATTGTGATATATTTTGGAAATGTGTTTGTGATAAGGAGGTATAAATGGCTTACGTGCTTGGATCCGTTTATTGCTATCTGAAGTAAAACCAAGCTCGTCTGATTTATTTTGAAAAGTATAATAGTTTTGAGCAACGGTCGGAACATAATTTCTATGTGCATTTAGGGGCGTCGGTACGAGTGCTGTCCCCGGAAAAGATGGCGTATCTCCTCGTTTGTAGACCGCATCATTCAATGAATCATGGGTAGGTCCCAGTCGCAGAGAATGGGGTGTGGTTGGTGGAGCTAAGGATGAATATGGCGAGAAATACACACTCGGGCCAAGTTGTCCCTTCGTATCGTGATTGCTCTTCCTTGCTGCGTCATGCGATGGTACGCGTTCACTACTTCCAAGTATCGGTTGCGGGTATACGTGTTGGGTACGAATATTTTCGGTATTGTAGCTGCTAAACAATTGGTTTCCGAGAATCCACCGATCACTCGGTTGATTACCATAACTCGTGGGTTGTAAACCGTTTTGAATGATGAGCGGATGGTAAACTAATGGCAATTTCGGTGGAAATTGCCCAATGTTGTAGGAAAAGTCTTTCTGATGCACGTTTTCGTATGGTTGATTGTGGGGTGAAATCTGTGGTATGTACGGGCGCAGTTTCGGTTCGTTGGAGTCCTTTTGATCTTGATGATTATGTTTTTGGAATTCAGGCGTGGACTCGATGATATCACGGTGTTCTTGGTTGTTGTAGTAATTTTGTCTAGATGTGTGCTCAGGTGTGGGCGTTTCTGTTGTGTATTTGGTTCTGTCAGGGAAATAGGACGGTGGGGGAGTTATGGGCCAGGCTTTTAAATATTCTCTGGTTGTCGATGGGATTGGAGGAGCAGGGGTTGTGACATAATATTCCGGCTCGGATACAAAATTTTGAACACTGGATTGGAAATGAGGTCTAAGTGTTGAGCTCGGAATATCTGCTTGGTTGAAAGGGAAAGCCGTGCTTTCTATTTCATTTGAGCGAAAACGGATATTCGATTCAATATTTTGATGGTATGCAGGTTCTGTGTCGTGCAGTTGCTCAACGTTTTGATTCCCACTAAAACTTTGGCTTGCCCTGTAGAAAGATTCCAATTGCTCTTGAATGCTCGACGTCTGTTGAGAATCGTAATTGTTCTTCCATTCGTGTTTTTGCTGTTTTTCAACTCTTCGATCTGAACTATATTCAGAAAATAAGGGCATGTAAGTTGGCAAAATGTCTTGTTTGTAAGTGGGAAACCGTGTGTCATGGAAATCATGTGACAGCTGTCCATTTTCTGAGTGCGGGAGGGCTTTCAAATCATAGTTAGTGTAATCGATAGGGATTTCGTAGTACTGTTCCAAGGGCACGCTTGGTTCCCACTGAATTACCTGATCTGAGTATGAATCGTAAATAGGACGGTAGTCGTCAGTTAATGGACTGTATGGCAAATAGTATGGCGGTAAGACCTTACCAAGGTTATTTGATTCTGGTAAATACACTTCATTTGGTGTTGAATGTACGTAATCTACGGAATGATCATCGTTAATCGGGTTATCTCTGTAGCTTGAAGGAGAATTTATGGCGATATCATCTTCTGTTAGTAAGGAGAGTGCGTAAAGCGGCGTTACTGGCGGAGATTTACTGGCCGCTGTACTTCTCTGTTCGGTTAATGATCGACCTCGTGTCTTGCGTCTGCTGCCATGATCGTGCCTCAGGGAGTTGCGCCAATGAATATGGTTTTGTTTTCTTGTATCTGTGGATGCGAATCTCTCTGTTACTCCAGTATTTATGGGCTTCTTAGTTGATATCACATGAGGTCGGCTTGGTTGTCCATTTGCCGCGAACTCTTTGGATGCACGTCTGATGGGTAAACGATTCTCATGTTTTCGGTAGCTACTGTCTCGGTGAGATTCCCAGAAAGTCGGGCTGTTGGTTGTTGATGAGATATCCGTTTGATGTCCTGTTGTAACAAGTGTTGGCTTGAGCGTTCTCTCTGTGATTTGAATTTCATCGTCTTGAAAATTCGCGAGCGTTGGTGTTTTCATTGTTGTTGTTGCCGAAGCTAAGGCTGGACGAGCAGTCGTTGGTCCATATCGTATTTGCTGTAGTTCTTCGTCCGTAATGTAGTTGTTGCCTTCTCCTGCGGTATGAGCAGCATTTTGGAATTTTTGGTAAGGCAAACCGACTTCTAATCCGAGTTGCTCTAAGTATCCAGGAGGAACGTACCCTTGATGGTATAAGTCATTAAAACTAAGACGCTGCTCGGACAGCTGGGCGCCTGCGACAGCGTGACTGATCATCTGGTAAGGATTGTTTGCAATTAAATGAGCGTAGCTTGGCAAAAAATGGTGTTCTGGAAGTACAATACCGTGTGGGTGTACTTCTGTAGGGATAAGACCAGCACCGTAATGAGAAAGAGCAGGGTTGTAATGTAGGTACGATGTAGCAGGTTGATGGGGGTTTAGGTAAGCCATAAAGTGATCATAGACGAGCGGTTGTATGGGGACGAGCGCTGCATTGCTGGAAGTGGGAGTCGGGGTTTTGGGCAATGGTTTTTGTGGGGATACTAGTCCCAGCTCTCCTGGGTTGTTGATGGCGATGCTTTTGGGAGACAGCGCGCTTAGTTGTTGAGCGGCCGCTGCTGCCGCCAATACCAGCACTAGCTGCCCAGGCCTCATCATGAGCGTCGCGGCGGCGGCGGCACCACCTGCAAAAGATAATTCATTAGCGTAGAGAACATTTTAGACTCCCTGCCTACATTTAATAAAGTTAGTGTTGAATGATTACACATAGTTCTACTATAAACGTTAATGACGTGACCTGCAGTAGCTGCTACATTATCATTGAATATGTTTTGCTAACTGCACATGACTGGAGGTGTTGGCACGCTACGGTAAACTCTTCTACAATAAATATTATTGCCTGAAATTTTCAACGTTGCTCAAGCCTTGAATTATATGAGCAGTACCATATATATATGGCAATCGTATATTAGTGTAGTTAGGCAGAAGTTCTGTGTATGCAGGTTTGATTGAAGACCAGATTATGCTTTTCATTAACAATTTTCTTATTGTTTCTTTCAATAAGCCGAACAATATTTCTTGCTAGTGTTGTGAGATCGAAAATCAGGTTAGCAAATGACGTTTTACTAGAATACGACGTTTCGAATATTTAATATTCATTCTCAAGGAGGGAAAGAGTTTTACAACACTTGAAATTGGAAATGATATAAGTACATACACAAGGTATCGTAGAGACGGTTCGAAATCAGAACTTAAAATTATGCCGAGAACAACTTCAACGTCCTGACAAATCCGGTGGTTTGATAATTGACAATCCTTGATTGTGAGAGCCTCTGCTATTGCGTCTTGTTATAGTATCGAGGCACCACATGATGATGCTGGTGCAGGCCTCCAACGTCGCGCTGGTGATCTTCTTGTGAGCTTCCTGCAAATGGTTCTTTGGTCCTCCAGTTTGTAGATAGCATGCGAGTCTGTGGCTCAGGGTCGTGCTGTTTAAACCGATGC